TGATTGCTCTTTCGTATCCTCGTGATGTAAATGTTTTGACAAGTTGCTCTGTGTTATTTTCATACTCTGCATTATCAGAGCAAATTCTCTTAATTCTTAATGCTTGGCTGTAGGCTAGGCTATTTTTTAGTGGTAGTGGATGTTCAGATGCTCTATGAAGATAATTCTGTCTGTCTGTGGGTTTCCTATGTAGTTGTGTTTGCAAATGGTTCTGTTATTGATATAAACGATCGTGTCCAAAAATGGGACTTCTTTTGCTGACATCTCATAATCAAATTTGATAGAGGTATGTTTTTCGTTAAGTTCAGATATAAAGTTTTCAAATTGCTGTTTGGTGCCTGTCCACAAAATAAATGTGTCGTCAATGTAACGTAGATATAATTTTGCTTTATTCCCAATATATGGATAAATGTATTCTTCTTCGAATATCCCCATAAATATGTTAGCGTAAGAAGGGGCACATATTGTTCCCATGGCACAACCCTTGATTTGGAGGAAATTATTGCCATTAAATTCAAAATTGTTACAGGTAAGTATAAGTTTTAGAAATTCAAGTATTACGATTGGAGAGGCTGAAAGTGTATTTGTATTTGTAAGCTGGTTTAATTTTTGTTTAACAGCATCAAGGCCTTCATTTGTAGGGATATTAGCGTAAAGGGATCTGACATCCATGGAAATAAGTACTGTATTATGTGGTAGGTCTTTAACTGACGATAATTTATTAATAAAATCTGTGGTGTCTCTTACGTACGAACTTAGTCGCTGTGCTACTGGATTTAAGTGGTAGTCTACATATTTAGAGATTTGGCTAGAATGGCAAGCTACTGAGCTTACCACCGGTCGACCGGGATTGTTTGGTTTATGTATTTTCGGTAGCATGTAGAACCTAGGTGTTTTAGGGTTAGCTGTTTTTAACACTTCTCCAATTTTAGATTGTATTAATTTCTCTCCTATATACCTGTCGATTAAATCATTTATCATTTTATTGTGTTTATTGGTTAAATCTTCGTCAATGGTTGAATAGAACTGGGTATTACCTAACTATCTGTTTGCTTCTTTTATATAGTCTTTTACAGCAATTATTACAACTGCTCCCCCTTTGTCCGCTTTGGTTATGATAATGTCGGTTCTTTGTTTTAAATCATTCATGGCTTTTATTTCTTTTTTTGAGAGGTTATTTTTGGGTAGAGGTACCTTAGGTGTTGAGTAAATATCGCTTTTTACCGCTTCTATAAAAATTTCGACTGTATGATGTACATTGTATGGTGTCCATCTACTTTTCTTCCTAAATATTCTTTCTTCGTCTGCTTGTTGCTCGTCAGTTTCTTCTTCATCTTCTAGTGTTTCTTCAGCGTTGTTAAAATGGGCTTTAAGTTTGATTTTTCGAAAAAATTCCTTCATGTCTTCTTCCAGTTTTTTTGTTTTGTAAGGTAAGGGTGTAGGACAAAAGTTGAGGTTTTTGTTTAATAGTTTAAATTCACTTAAGGAAAATTTAAAGTTTGACAAATTTATGACCTGTCCAAACGGATCGTTTATTGTTCCTGTTATTGCCTTTGTTGTTTCGTTTAGGGCTGTAAGCATATCTGTTAGGCCCCCATGATACATGGAGGCCGTGGTTTCGTTTTTTTGGTTCCGGTTTTGAATTTCCTCGGTTGTTTGTGCTTCAACATGTGTTGTTTGATTAGACTTTTCCGTTCTTTGTTTCGGGCGCTGCAAAATTTTGATCATTCCAGGGACTTTCGTTGCTCTGTCTCTTTGGCTCTGGCTTGTTGATGCTCTTACATTTTTTAGGTGATCTACAAAGCTCATTGGTCGACTTTGGTTGGATGCCATCTGTTGCGGTCGTTTTACTGCGCCCGCGTAAGACTTCTCCTCTTTTTCTTTCTGGGGTGCAATTTGTTGTTTCTTTTCCTTAGAAGCCGCAGCTACATTTTTGTTTTGGGGCTTACCGTATTTCAGGTAGTATAACTTCCTTGACTTTCTCTTTTGGCATGTATTTTTTGTTTGCAGTGTATTTGCGTTGATAGTTTTTTTAACATCATTGTAGGTGTCTGTATCCATTTCTCTATTTAGAAGTGCATCAACTTTTGACTTTTCTTGCTCAGTTTTGGAAAGAGTGCTTCCATATATATATATATATATATATATATATATATTAGTATATATATAAATTATATAAAATATATATATATATAATATATATAGAAATTTGTCTTTTGATACTTCCGTAGCACAGTGCTCAATACGTTAGCACGTAGAGCGTGATACATCTCTTCAGGAGTGAGTTACTCACGAAACAGGCTTGTAGAGATAAACCATGTAGTTTTACTTTCTTCAATCTATGATATATATATATATATATATGTGTGTGTGAAAATGTGGGCTATTTCAACCTTTGACTTTGCAAAAAAGTGGGGGGGGGGCATGATAAATAACTAAATATCAGAGGGCTAAAAAACGTTGGAGCAGCAAAGTAGTATAGCTTTTGCCTAGTGATAGCTTTATTATTTTAAATATTTCATTGTCAAAATATTTTGAAACTTTTTTTGATGACAGGTTATTATTTTTTCTGAACAGCCTCTACCCGTAAAGATACACTTTTATGAGTTTTATTGCAATGAATCCTTGGATTAGCTTTCTTGGGTTTATGAATTTGGGTGAGGGCTAATTCCAGAGAAGGGCAAAATACAGCAAAACATCCTTAAACCGACATCAAGAAAACGTCATGAACATGCTATAAGCGATTTAACTTGGATTAAAAATTGGCATATCAGCATGTGAGCCTTTTAATTATAGGGGCTAATCGCTAACTTTAAGGGGGCTGAGACAAGGGATGCCGTCCGTTAGTAAGTGTTTTGAATCGACATCATGCAAATCTATGTACAGGTACAGGCGCCAAAAAGCAGGGTCACACTTCCCATAATGTCTTGGACATGGCCATGCATAGCGAGCTGGATCAAATGAGCAGTTACTCTCCCCAGAAATTTTCAAGTATAGGGTTTTATACTGTTTCATTTTCTTTTTCATTTTGTAATATTTATACAGGTTAAAGGTTCATAAATATGTTTTTCAACCTGACCTGTTTAAAAGAATAAAATAAGAGCTAATAACTATGTTAAAATACTAGTAACAAAAGAAATTTACCAATCAAACCTAATTTACAATATTTAATAATACTAAGGCTATAAAAAGTGAACGTAAAGATGAAATAAAAGTTGTCCCCGACTATAGTTGTTCTTTGAAGGTTTTCAGGGAGGAGGCCAATTTGGTAGTCCTTTCTAGATTATTCCACAGTTTTGGACCGCGATAAGAAAAAGCCTTTTGGCCATTTATTGTTTTTAGCAGCGGTATCTTAAGATCAGTTTCTGATGAACGCAGAAACCGTTCTCTATCATCCGAACATTTTTCGAATAATTTTCTCAAATAGTCTGGTGCAAGCATATTTAGAGATTTGTAAGTTAGCGTGGCTGTCTCCTTTCTTACAAGATTTCTGATGGTTAACCAGCCAAGATTCTGAATTATCGGAGCAGCAGACGCATCGTATGGGCTGCTAGTTACAATTCTGGCATCTCTATTTTGGATTTTTTGCAACACGTCAAGCTTTGATTCATTACAGCTTGTTAGCAAAAGGGGCCGCACTCCAGATTTAGAAGAGCAAAATTACAACCAACTTGCGCCTTTATAGGTTTTATGAACCAAGATTTTCAAAACCAAATACTGCGAGAATGCACAACCTTAACGTGTGCAAGCTTCAAACATTGATATGGCTTTTACAGTCATGCCGTCCGGCATCGTAAAGAGCAATTTAAACCAAACAAAGTTTACACAAGGCTTCAAGTACTTTAAGATAACACCGCGTTATGAGAAAACATCGGAAAGGTGGACGTTATTTCAAGAATTTGTTATCATATAAGGAAAAATCCCAGAATTTTATAGGATAGGGCCAAGCTAAAAGAAATATTTAGAATCTTTGCAGCAGTTAGAGAGGATGATACCCAATCTGCTAACAGATAAGCATTGGCGTACGGGACGGGGGCTGGGAGCCTTCAACCCACTAGATTTGGGCAGCTGATTTTTTTCGGGCAAAATTCGGGTAGGAGCCTTCTCCAAAAACAAAAAGGTATAAGAAAACTACATTTTTAACATGCTTGAAATTCTCTGAGATGAAAAAATCAAGTGGTCATGATCGAGAGCCCTTTCGAAAGTAATGGAAAAGGTAAAAATCTCTTGGGTGGAAAAACACCAAAAAAGTGACAAAAACAGCCCAATTTGTGCTTGAAAAGATTGTCGAAGAAGTAAAAGAAAGCGGCTGTAATGCTGTCATCATTGATGAAACATCTTAGTTTTGTCAGCACGAATGTCAGTTTGTGTCAGTTTTGCACTGAATGGAATCCGAAAGGAAGTTTTTGCTAAATTTTTCAAAAAAGTGTATGTAGAAACTTGTTGGCAAATGCTTCGACGGTCTAAAATGAGCGGTAAAGCTGAGGACTTGGCGGAGCGAATGGAGGACTGATTGACTTCGTCTTTATTCACAACCCCCAGTCATTGATATCTGATTTGTCTCGATATCAAGAATTTGTCCCAACCATACGATGTGAGAGATTTTGTTATATAGGCAATTATATTGTATGGGCAAAATTGCTTCAAAGAGTGTACTGGAATCAATCATATGCGAAAATGTTTTCACAGGCACCGCGGAGAGTTGAGAAAAGTGGGGGATCTAAAAAAGTGGGGGGGGGGCTAAAACCGAATAAAACATGGCTTGAGTGGTGATTCATTGGTAATTTTTGTTTGCATTTCGGCGAAAAGTGGGGAGCTATAGCCTCCGAAGCCCCCCCCCCCCCCACTTCTCCATGGTACTTGTTTCACCCTTCTGCGGCAACTGTGGTGCCGCCTCGGGTAGTAAGTAAATCGAGACGTTTTGTTATGATTTAGGACGCATACTTACGAGTCAAAAATTGAGCAAAAAAATCTAATTTGATGCATGAAATGTGAAAAATGAATTTGTGATACATTTTGATAAAGGCATTTCTCGACTCATTGATTGCATATTTTGTAGCTACAGAGTTTCAGCTTTCAATTAATTTTTCAATAACTCGTGAAATTTCTCACATCTCAGTTTCTACAAAAAAATGCTCGGACATCCACACTTCACGATAGAGGCCCGGGGGCTCTAAAAATGTTAGTGCGATCAGGGGCGGATCCAGAGCAAATTCGAATGAGGGGCAGTTGGTAGTGGGGGCGCTGAAAAATTTTCCAATATTGGTGACGAGTATAAACAGTATACAGCAATTTCAGACTCTAACTACTGACAGTAGGTTCTCTATCCACTTTGAGATAATTCTTGAAGTAAATTAACTTTTAAGTCTCAGTAACTTTTGCACCTGATTATCATTTTTCAAAAGGGGCGCACGATTTCCTGAAAAGGAGCGCCAGATTTGCTTCAACTCGGTGAGGGAGGGACAACTGCCCCTAGCTGCCCCCCCCCCCTTGATCCGCCACTGAGTGCGACCCTGCCAAAATGACGTTGGCATGGGCTGAATGCAGAACAGCCTCTGTTATGCAAATTAGATGATCCAGACGCAAAAAATCGTTTGGAGTGGGCCCAAGTAGATTTGGTTGCCCCAACTGGTTACTTTTACTACGGACCTCGGGAGAGGAGTTCCTGAAATTTCCAGAACTTTCCAAAAGGAGGCTGTCCTCATCTTTTTGCAAGGAGAAAAATGGCGGGTGCAAAACAGTTTGGGTAAGCAACATTAGAAGGGTTTTTTCTGCGTTTAGAAAACAATTAATTTTAATTAGGAATTCAATGTTGCCTTAAGTTTTAAACAATTTATTTTATACACTTTGTCTTGACAGATATTTTGTTAGCAGAAAAGGTGGATAGCCTTAAGAGGGCTGTACATGACTGTTTTGTACGTTTTAGTCTATTTTGCTCATTGGGATGATGACAGATGATATTCCGTTGCTTCAATAAAGTCGATAAATTGTATTTTCTGGATGCATTTACCAAAAATCGAATTGGCAACAATTATAACTCTGCATTTGTACAGACACTGTATCGATACGAGAAATATGTATAGCCGTTGGTCTAGGCCAAGAAAATGACGTTTCATTAAATCAAATCTGGAGATATTTCGTTTGTCTTCGTGAATTTAGATTAAATAAGAAACTTAACAAGTCTGAAATTGTCCTGCAAACTTTAAAAAATGTTTTTGCTTCAAACAACTTTCGTTGCTCTAAACAAACTTCGTGTTGCGACCCAGGATGATTTAGCGATAAACCTTTTGATTCTTATGGGTTTTAACTAATTAGTTAACTAACTAGTTGGTATGTATTAATACATACCAACATCACAAACCGGAATAAAAGAAGAGATGTGTTTATACTGATTATTGGAAACAGTCCAAATTACCAGTCTTTTTGTGCTCAACAACAAGATTTTGTTTTTTGATATTTTTGAGTCAATATCAACACATTTTTGCTAATAATTATGGGTCTGCTAACTTTGTTTTTGATATGTTTTTCAACCTGAGAGCTATATTAACCAGCATCTCAGAAGCCTCAATCAACGGTTCTGATTTTATAGCAATTACTATTGCTTTTTTTGGCCTATGAATATTTTTCATATTGTTTCTTTGATTGTTTAATAACAGAAAATGTGAGCAATAGTATAAGGTTTAAATAGTGCAAAAAATTTTAGTAATTCCAGTTTGCAGAAGACTCAAAACAAAATCTCAGGTGTTCTGTATCAAAACATTTCTGGCGAGGATGTACCATATAAAATTCCCAGTGCACATAATTTTTGTGGTCTACTTCTTCAGGTTTGCTTATTGTCAATATGTGCAAGTCCGTTATGTGTCAAGCTTGATTAGGCAAATGTAAATTAAAATTTTTTATGAATGAAAAATAGATGGAAAAAACAACCCAAGTTCACATTCGTTGCCCATTTTTAAGGATGAAATCCCTTTCCACCACTTCCCTGATTCCATGGTGCCAACTTAATATCTCTATATATATCTGTCATTCCACTTTCAGAAAAGTACTAACCCCAAGAAAGCTTGGAAACTTTAAGTAGATAGTTCTTCACATGTGTTCATAATTGTACATGAATTTTAGCCCTTATTTGCTTATTTTTTTCTTTATGAAAAATGGAGAAATGTACATGATTTTTCTTTGCCTTTGATTTTCCTATTAACCCTGTGCTCAAAAATAGAGACTTGATCCTCCTCGCATCCAATCATACTTGCTAATTGTTGTTCCCTTAAGAGATACATCATCCATGTCAAATAATAAATGTGTCAAAATATGATAATTATCATTTGAATTAAACTTTAAGTTCTATGGCTTTTTGGTTTGACGAATACAATTTGGGTTCTTTTTTGTATTTATAGCCTTGGCAATGATGCTTTTGTGGATGAAGAGTATGGCCTTGCCAAAGAGGTAACTGGTTGCATGTTATTGATATAGGTGGAAATAAATTGCTTTTTCAGCCTCTTGAAAAATATATTGTTTTTCTTGGACAATTTTGCAACAGGAATGCAATGTTAAAGGAATGCATTCAATTATGTTTAATGTTAGCAAAGTAATTCAGTTTGCAATGTCAGAAGAACTAACATTTGCAAAGAATCTGTATGATATTTAAATTTTATGAAAATCTAGACTCAGATGTTCCATGCCTTAAATATAATCTCAATGCACATGTTTCTAGCTTTCAAGATTAATTTCTTAAACACTCATATTTAGGATTTTATTTAGAGCCTTACCATCTAATTAAGGGTTTATTATTGTGAGGTTGCTTGTTAAAATGTGTACCAAAATGGTCTAGCACAACCTGTGTGATTTAAGGGCAAGATATAGACAAAATTATGTGACATGGTCTGCCTGTATGTCTGTAATTTGTCTGTTAGGAAAGAGTCCAACAAGCTAGTGAACATCAGATTATTTTCTCAACACACTTATTTCCAGTACTGATATTACCACATGTTGTTACAGAAATATTCAGAAGCAATAAGCCTGGAACCTGAAAATTCTTCCTATTACCTCAAGAGATCAATCTGTCATGCAAAATTAGAGGACTATGCAAGTATGCCTTTTTCTATTATGTTTAATTACAAGTGAGATATTGAAATAATATTGCTGAATTCTGAAACTAGCTCATTTTCCAAGATCAGCTGCTTCATTAAGGTACTTCTCTTTTCAGCGAATAAGTATTAATTTGTATAGCTAGTCTAGGATTATACTTTGAGTTTGCCATTAGGGGGGAAACTCTCAAAATTCTTATATTTTACCTTTATTGACTGCCAATTGGCATTTTGGAATTTTGAGGGTAATAAAATGAAGGGAAATTTACTTTTTCTTGAGAATATTGTGGCTAGAACTTCCAGTCAGTTCAAACATGATTAAACATATGGTATTTGTTATGTTCCTATAAAAAGGAATTTTTTTCAATGGGAGCAATTTGTCTTTTTAGCACTTTAGAAGATAATCTGCAGCTTTCCATCTTATGTTTGAGAGGAACCTGGAAAAAATAAGAGCTATGGCTTGCTTTTAATGACCAGCCCTGCTTTCTATAACTTTTGAAATTTATTATGTTTTAGGCTCTGCCAGTGATGCAGAACAATCTATCAAATTAGATGCCAACAATCCAAAAGCACATCTAAGGCTGGGGTAAGTTTTCAATATTTTTACTGCCAGTTGCAGCTCATCTGCTGGAACAAGTGTGGCTCAGAACCGTCAAAGATTTCCCAGAATAAGTTTTATGTTCATGTACATAAATAATACTCAATGTCCATCATAATTTCACTTCCCTGTTTTCTATAAGTTTAGATTCTTTGTTAAAGATCCTACTAACCAAGTTTTTTAAAACTAGAAAAAGACGTGCCAGAAACCATCTTCCTAACGTTTGTTCTCAACTTGTGCTCTCTTATGGGTCAATTCTGTTGTTGGGGTAGGCAGGGGCGAAACTGCTGGGGGTATGGGGGTGTTGCACCCCTTCCCCCAATCTTCAAAAAAGCAGATTTTGTCCGGCAAATTTATGGCTGCCAGCATATCCGCCAGGCAGATAAGGAAATTTTGTTTAGGTCGCACTTTTATTGCTTCTTTTTGCCCCAGCGTGGTTTTTGAATATATGGTCTTTTCCCCTCATCTTTTTACAATCTCCGCCCAGTTTGGAAACAAAACAGAAACGAGGCAAGCAAGAGCAACATTCTGTCTTTTGTCTCGATCACGACATGCACATGTTTGTTTTCGCCTCGATATGCAGAAGTAGAGTCTGAAGTATTGATCGACAGCGAAAGTATAGACGGAAAGTAAAGTGTGTTTGATGAAGAAGGAACTTAGCACAGGGCATGCCCCCCCTCCCCCACTTTTTGCAAAACAAGAGAGCTTTTTTCAAAAATTTTTGTTGGGATTGCTGAATTTTCCCTTGACCCGCCCCCTTTCCATCCTGCATCGGAGCCCATGGAACACTGACAATTTTAGAAGCATCATAGATCAAATGCCATTTTGGAATACGTTGTTGAGAAAAATCAAGCAATAATTTCTTTTCCAAATGTATGAAAATTTCATCATTGGTTTATCATACATTCATAGGAAGTTATGTCCCGAAATTCTCTTAAGTTTTTAGACTTGCGATCCGAAAGTATTGCACCCATCGCCAAAAAATGACCATACAGCTGCCACAGTTAATTAACTAAAAAAATTCAAATGGCTGTAACAAATAACAGAAAGTTTTAAGCCTACAGTTCAAGTGGTAAATAATAGAAAATTTATCAAGGAATTGTAATTGAGATATGAATTGCAAAAAATTTTCGAGCTTCTTCTATTTCTGAACAATACGAAAAAACACGAAAATCGAGCTTTGATGATAGGTGTACCTGTAAAATATTTCCAATAAAAAAAAACTTTTCTTTGCTTGAGGGTTTTTGTTATGGTGAATTCAGAGATGCTGACTTTGTGCTTTGGTGTCAAAATTATTTGAATTCCTTACGGAGCAACCGAAAGTTGAAATCAAACTCAGAAAATGCAACTGAAGCTCTATTTTTGAAACATTGTAGTCTGCATAGTTGTTTCTAAATTCCGAAATTTCCAAGCTGTGTTTTGTTGTTCCACTGTGACAAAGTTGAGATCCTACCTCAATTTCTTTTTGAAATTGCTCTCTTAATAGATAGGTGATTTAGAAAGTGAAAACTATTTTTCTTTTATAGAAAAGACAGGCCTTGCAAATGCTTGCTTTTCGGAAGCAGATGTTTATAGCCAATACCGAGTCTAAAGGCCTAACATATTTGGTGACCCTCTCTCGGGGTCCCCGATGATTTCAGCCCTTGAGGCGATGTGCCCCAAAAATGAAGTTCATGCATGACACGCATTCACAATTCCTCCACGAGCTGCCGCTGCCTTTTCCTCTTTGGTTTTTATGTAACCCAAAGAAAACTTTTAAAAGTTACACAAAGCAACCTTTCTCCATCTTCTCTAGGATTGCAAAATTCCACTTAAAAGAATATAAAAGCTCAAAAGAAGCATTTCAAAGTTTATCAGCTCTAGATGGTAAGGTTAATTTATGCTCTTTTATTTTTTTTTTACTTTGAATATACCGTAAATGCTCTATGAAGCCCCCCTTTCTTTTAATCCCCCTCTCTTTTAAGCCCCCCGTAATCAAGCAAACATTTAAAATAAGCCCCCTCTCTTTTAAGCCCCCCTTATCAAGCAAATATGTAAAATAAGCCCCCCTCTTTTTTTAAACCCCCTATCTCTATTAAGCCCCCTCTTAAGCCCTTGATGCCAAACAAAGAAAACATATTAATTTAGTAGGTTTTTTGACGGAAGTGATTACGAGAAATACGGCCCATGTAAATATAAACTTGTGTGCCTTAGAAGCCCGTTAGAAGTCAGTCGAAATTTGTTTAGAATATGTCCCAGAGGTTGTCAATTGATCCTGATGACTCCGAGGAAGATGAGGACCTTATAATTGATTGATTTTAAGAAACTTTCGAAGCTGCTAGCAATGTTTTTGAGAACATTTTTATAACATTCTCATAACAATAAATGAATAAGGGCTTTTTTATAACATTTTTTACATTGAATTATTAATAAGCCCCCCTACTCTAATAAGCATTCTCTCTTTTAAGCCCTCCTGGACTGGCAAAACTGAAAAAGCCCCCGGGAGCTTAATAGAGCTTTTACGTATTCACATTTCTCTCTATTCTAAAGTGTACATATTTTAAATCAAATGAATTTTAAATTTTTAGCTGAAAACAAAGAAGCAGTAGATTGGATAAAGAAATGTGATGCTGAAATAGCGGGTTAGTATTATACGTCTCTGTATTTTTTAAACCTTCTTAGAAACATCTTTTAGTTACCTTAAAAGCTCTATTATGCCCCAGGGACTTATTTATATTTTCAGTCCTAGAGGGAAAGCTGAAAAGAGAGGGGGCTTATTAGAGAGGGGGGATTATTAGAGAGGGGGCTTATTAATGATTCAATTTGAATGCTGTTATACAAAAGGCCCTTATACATTTCTGTTATGAAGCAGCTTCGAGAGTTTCATAAATCAATCAATTATAATGTCCTCACGTTAATCAGAGCCAACAGGATCAATTGATAACCCCTGTGACACCCTCTAAACAAGTTTCGACTGATTTCTAAGGTGCACTGGTAAATCTTTTCATGGGCTGTATTTAGTGCACACGGATTTATTATCATCATCAAGCCCATCAAGAGACCCACTCAATGCGCATGTTTTCTTTCGTTTGATATCAGGGGCTAAAACAGGGGGCTTGATAGAGAAAGGGAGCTTATTTTACATTTTGCTTGAAAAAGATGGCTTAAATGAGAGGGGTACTTAAATGAGAGGGGGGCTTAAATGAGAGGGGGCTTCATAGAGCTTTTATGGTATCTTAGACTTTAATCTATGCCTCTCATGTATACACTGTCAATAAATACTTGTACTTGCTTGACGTATGGATAAGCCACAATTCTTCATGCTACCTAAACATGCTTTACTGAAAATATGATTACTGACATTTTATATTTAAACACAATATATTTTGGGATCGATCCCAAACGAGATCAATCCCAAACTGGATCAGTCCCATTTTCCATGTAAACAGGGGTCTTAAACTTTGCTAACATATTTTGTAGCAAACAATGCTGGGAATACAGAAAGTAAAGTGACAAACGAAGCTGTTGCATCAGAGAAAAATATGGAAGAAAAGCATGCTGCAGCTAACTCCGTTAAGTGAGATGCTTTAGAATCTTCTGTAAATTTCATTTTAGTGACCATTCATTTTAGCATTGGCAAAGTGGAGATGAGGGGAAAATTTTCTCAAACAACTTTTGAAGCTGACAGTGCTGAGGGTTTTTGTCTATGGAAAGAAATAAAGTAGACTTACTGTAACTTGTTTCAGCCATAAATCCTAAAAGCAAGCGTTTATACAAAGTTCAGATGAAGCCAAACATCTGAACTTTGACTGATTTTTTTCTAGACAGGAGAGAATACCAGACTTGGTCTTTTTTATGATTCATTAGATTGGTGTTCTACTGGGCGCTGCCAACGCCTCTGTTTTGTTCGTCCTTTTCATCAAGGATCTATTATGTTTCACCGCTACAAGTATTCGTTCTTTGTGCTTATCTGAGCTCTTTTTTCTCTTTTGATTTTCAACATGATTCAAAGAAACATTTTTATATTTCTTCCCACTGATAGTCTGGCAATAATTCAGAAGTAGGGTAAAGACAATCTCGTTAGGTCCAACCAAACTAATACCAAACAGGTTATTGTTTCAGGTAAACTCAACCCTGGCTTCCCTCCTGTTTCCATGAATGGTACTGCTTTGGGCATTTCTACTTCTCTTTCAAAACTATGCCTTTCTTTATCATCCAACCTTTTTTAGAATTCTCACCTTTTTCGCTATTGCTTAACATTCTTTTAAAAATCTTAGTCTCCTCTCTAGAGTACGTGGATTTTTCTCACCTTCACAACTTTTAACAATTTGTAGGTCTCAGATCGGTCCTTATTTAGAATGCTGCCCTTCTATTAAGAGTGGTGCACCTAAATCGTCCTTTTGTCTCCATCACAAAATCCAATCCAAAGCCATTCGTCTAATCAACAACTGCAATCTCACCTCTGCTCGACATCTTTTTCGACGGCGCTGTGTCGCCGATCTCTCAATTTTATTAAGACTCTACCACGGGTATCAGAGATCTACAGTCCCCTGAGAAACGTATGCAGTATAGATAGGTTTCTAGTGCCCTCCCTAGTCATGTCTGTTTGCACAATTAAAGAAGTCTGTCCCACAGCTCATCCTTTTTTACCAGATCTTGTAAACTTTGCAGCGCTTCACTCCCTTCCTACCTGCCTTCATTCAAAACCATTACCTTCCCATACCGTCAAAAAATAAAATTACTCCCTTCTCTTCCCTTTATTGTTAGGGTTCAGTTACAGGCTCTCGGGCCATTTGCTAACTCTATAAACTTAAGAAATAAGGTAACAGAAACACAAGCAACTAAAAATTCGAGAGCAGCTAATGACCTTATAGCTATAAGTAGTGACTTTGGTGAGTGAAGTTGTTACCCAACCCAGAAGTTTCTGTTTGATTATACTTTGACTAGTCAATCTAAATCTCAGTTTAAATATTCAATCATCAAATTTGAATCTTCGTATGAACGTCTCATAAGTTGCTTGTTTGTTTAGTTGTGTCATGTCTTTCATCTTTATTTAAAGGCACGACTGGTATCAAACTGAAACTAATGTTGTCCTTACTCTGATGGTGAAAAACCGCAAGAAAGAGGATGTTGAAGTCGAGTTTGGGAAGCAAAATGTTTGTACTTTCATATTTTCCAGCAAATTTTGCCCTTTTATGCTAAGACTTGACATTTCATTTGTAATCTTCAATAGTTTTCTATTCACTATGCAGCTTGTCAAAGAAAAATCAGCTAGGGGGATTGGTCTTATCCTAGATTTATTGAAGAAATCACTGTAGCCAGAGATTTTGCATCAATCAAGGGCAAAAGTAACAACTTTTTAAGTTCTTTTAATTATGTTAATGAAGCAATTGGAAAAAACCTGTTGTAGGTAACATTCCATTTAGCTGCAAAGACAAGCTTTTTATCTACTTGAATATTTACAGGTCAGTATAGCAGTGAAGCTTTCAAGCTCACAAGACTACAACTGGGAACTGAATCTTGCCCATCCAATAGTACCACAGGACTGCATTACTCGTATTCTTTCAACAAAGGTAAGCCAACCCTGTTACAGTCCCACCAGGTTCTCTATATAAGCATAATCTGTTGTAGAGACAAGATTCTGAGCCAGAGATAGCATAGATCGACGTTTTCCTTTTATACCAACTAAGAAATCTATTTACAACTTAAGTTACCATAGCCCAGCGTGCGATAAATTAACGAACTGATTAACTGTCGTGGTCAAGTGCATTGTGTATTGAAATATGGAAGGTGTTGTCAACACAGTGACTGACGGGAAGAGGACTGGGTTCAAATCTTATAAATTGGTCATTTAAGACCAAAAGAGAACCCAAGAAGACGTAGAAATTTTCTGGCAGCAATAAAGACAGATAAAAATATCGTTAAAAGCGAAAGAAGTGAATACTTTCTTCATTTTTCACAACAATTTGTTCGTGTAAAACTTTGCAGCTAAAAATTATTGGCTGACACAGAAGCTAGAAATAATAAAGGGAACCGTAAGAAACAGCTTAAACTTGGGGTAACAAAGAGACTCGCACACTGTTTGAAAATGGGCAGCCTCGATTAGTGCTATATGGCCATGGATTTATTTGCATGTCTAGAAGTGCTACGGGTACATTCATGATTTGTTTGGGCTGATTTTTTATTCGTCTTGTGTGAACTGCGAATCAGCTGCTATGTATTCAGTAGGGGGATGCAGAAACCTTGAAGTAGGCATAAGCTTGAAATAATTTTGCTAATGTGACATAAATGTTACATTTTGCTTTTCTCTTTCTGAATTACGAAAATTGTGGCTTTCTAATATAGATTTTATTTACATGTTTGCCAATTTTTTGGCTTTGAGTATGCGTAATAATCTACCAACCCTGTAGCTTATTGCAACTTATTGGCAGTGGTGATGTAATACTGTGGATAACATTTAGAATGATTATGTTTTTTCTCTTTTTCAGATCGAGGTGAAAATGAAAAAAACTGAAGGAATGCGTTGGAATTCTCTTGAAAATAAAAACGAACCTGTTTTTGCCAAATTAGATAAAGGTAAGCTATCTATGGGTGTCACCCGTTGGGTTGTCAAGTTTATCTTTGACAAGAGAATGTTTTTATTTCGTAGTTAACAACTAGTATGGTGCAGTCTCAGTAACATGGGTTATCACTAACATCGATTTTCGAAAATCAACCATCGCATTCCTTGCTTATAGGTTTATGGCTGAAGTTAACGATACATTTACTTTTCCCCTACATTTCTGACAAGTATATCTGTTTCAAAGCAAGGTTCAGGAAGATTTCCTTAAGTTAAAGCTTTTTTTGTAGTAGCTCCATTGAGGTTTCATAAGTATTTTAGAATTTTCAGCTTTTGATTGTACCATTGGTGACTTTTTACTGTTACCATCCCTGTAAAAACAGATTCGGCGACAAATGAATCTTCCACGCGACAGTACCCTACGTCATCAAAACGGCACCAAGACTGGGACAAACTTGCTGCCAAAATTGAAAAGGACGAAACTGAAGATAAGAAAGAAGGCGAGGCTGCCTTGAACGAACTTTTCCAGAAAATTTATGCGAATGCAGATGAAGACACGAAAAGAGCAATGAACAAAAGCTTTCAGGAATCAGGGGGAACAGTGTTGAGTACGAATTGGAAGGACATAGGCGCTAAAAAGGTTGATTGTAAACCCCCTGATGGCATGGAGTTCAAGAAATATGAGTTTTGAAAGAAGACAACTTTCGTAGAAATGATCCAGCAATTAGTAACCCACTGGTACTTGGTTGTGCTTCGTCAATTTTCATGCATCTTCAGTCTCGCTTGCTGAAAAGTTTCAGAGTTTTGTACAAATTTTTATGAAGACGTAAGCTATCTTGCAGACTACTTCACATTGATTTTTTTGTCATCTGAAATATGTTTTGAAGCACCATTAATTATCTGCATGAAACTTACAGTTGTAGAAATTCAATCCAAGTTTCCTTTCATTGCCAGGAGAACGGCATTTGAAATGTTTATATATTATTGTTTTTCTTTATTGTGTTTGCTCCGTGCGCCGTTCGCTACTTGAAGGTGCAAAGAAGGCTGAGCTCCCTTTTCTAATGCCAAAAAAAGGATCCCTTTCTACTTCATGCTATTGTTATTGGATAAAGTATTTACGAGGTCCCTCCTAGTAAAGAGTTGTGCTGCTGCTCATGACCCCCTCTCCAGTAGAACAGCGTGTTACGTCTATGATAAAACATATCTTGCAAAAAATTTTATACTTACGTGCTGATTTTAAAGGTCAAATTAACAGTAATGCGTCAGCAAACTTTAAACCTTCCATTGGCCATGCCTCGCCCAATTTCGATAATATCACAGAATAGAAATGACCAGAAGGGTCACTCGTGTCGGCATCCTTTGTTGCAAGTTCACTCGATTTTTTCTGGCGCCGCGCTGTCTGTACATACAGTTCTCGTTTTCAACCGTCATGAAAGGAGGCTAGTAGTCTAGGATGTTGCACAATCGAAGGCGTGTTGAAGCAAATTTAAAAACAAGCTCCCTTGAATACCACTGGGGCTGCACTTCATACCATCATGAAGCAAAAGGAGAGTGAATAAAATCACAGAGGCGCTTAGTTCGTTATGAATCGTGAGTTTGGAAACGATATTTAAATTCCCTGTTAGCTAATAATCAATACTACAGGCCTACTACAGTTGTGAGATGCGAGACCACCATTGATAGCAGTATTTTCCGGTTATAAAGCAATATATACAGGGCAAGATACTAGTTTAATTCTGGTTCAGATCGTTGAATTTGTTTTCCTAGTCCCATCTCACATTATTGTGTTGTTTTTCATCGATGTGCTTTGTTCGTGCTTATTGTTTGACATACTATCCTCGTTTTGGTGACGCATGCGCGAAAAAACTCACGCTGAATCGATTGGCAAAGAGTGACCCTTCTGGTCATTTCTATTCTGTGATAATATCTAACTGATTTTGCATATTGTAAGGTATTTTATACTGCTCTCATCGCACTTTGGTACCCTATACATATTTATCTCGTGTTTTGTAAGGAGGAGCGCCGATCCTTTGAGATCAACTGCTCCTGGTTATAAAAATTATGCATCCGAAATCTCATGATGGCGATTCCGCGGGGAGCGCCCCACGGGGCGCCTCCCCGTGCCATTGACGGCAGATGCCCTTTTCAAATGATGAAAGGTGGTCGCACCTGCCAATTCTTAGCTGTCAATGTCTCCAAATGAGGGACCTCTGCCATTTGGCGCATGCGTATAAAGCCATCAGTGTAGGTCATCGAGGGATGAAGAATATTTTAACAAAGCATTTCTTTGATTTCTTGTTTTACCTATCAGAACACTGGGATGCATGGAACAGTGCCTTGTACAGAATCAAGTTGAAAGAGGGAGTGTAACAATGCCTCGTTAGAACTAAAGAAAGGGCTCCACAAAATACAGGACATCAAATTACGAACATTTCCTATCTTTGGATTTGTCTAACCCGCGGTCATAAGCAGTGCCATAAATGAGAAAATTTATAGGAAGGATGAGAAATCTAGATTTTTCGATTAAAATCTAACAAGAATTTTCTAAGTGTTCTCTATTTAATAGAAGTGTTCTAAATTTTTATGAAAAAATACATCATTATGAACAATTCTTTGATTTTTCGAAAAATGCGACTTTCATTCCAAAACAAATCTTCTTCATTCGGTTTATATAGATATTTAAACTACCTTAAAAAAGAAAAGTTTTAACATTTTCTCAGAAAAGCCTATAGTCTTACTGTTTTACTAGTCAGAAAAGCCTACTGTTTTATCGAAAATCGATCAGTCTGGAAATTGTTTATTTTTGAAAAAATATGGCTTTCATTCACAAACTAAATTCAATTCCCTTTTTTTACCATCATTTAGAAGCAAATAAACTTATTTTTAGAAGAATATATTTCCGAAAAATGTTTAAAAAATTTGCGAAAGCCTATAGCCTTACTTTTTCATCAAAAATTGATGCAACTAATCATCCTTTTTTCTCGAAAAACTCGACTTTTATTCCAGGGCTAAATTCAATTCTTAATTATTCTGGTCATTTAGAAAGGAGTAGATTTGTTTTCAGAAAAAAAAATCGTTAAAAATTGACAAACTTTCTAAGCCTAAAGCCTTACTATTTTACCAAAGATCGATCTGTCTTGAAATTGTTTATTTTTCGACAAATATGAATTTTATTCACAAACTAAATTCAATCATCTGTTTATATCATCATTTAGGAGCAAATAAACTTGTTTTTAGAAGAAAGTATTTCCGAAAAATATTTAACAAATTTGCTAAGCCTATAGCCTTACTTTTTCATCAAAAATTGATGAAACTAATCATGCTTTTTCTCGAAAAACTGGACTTTTATTCCAGGGCTAAATTCAATTCTTGATTATTCTGGTCATTTAGAAAGGAGTAGATTGGTTTTCAGAAAAAAAAATCGTTAAAAATTGACAAACTTTCTAAGCCTAAAGCCTTACTATTTTACCAAAGATCGATCTGTCTTGAAATTGTTTATTTTTCGACAATTATTACTTTTATTCACAAACTAAATTCAATCATCTGTTTACATCATCATTTAGGAGCAAGTAAACTTGTTTTTAGAAGAAAGTATTTCCGAAAAATATTTAACAAATTTGCTAAGCCTATAGCCTTACTTTTTCATCAAAAATTGATGCAACTAATCATCCTTTTTTCTCGAAAAACGCGACTTCTATTCCAGGGCTGAATTCAATTCTTGATTATTCTGGTCATTTAGAAAGGAATAGATTGGTTTTCAGAAGAAAAAAATCGCTAAAAATTGACAAACTTTCTCGGCCTGAAGCCTTACTATTATACCAAAAATCGATCTGTCTTGAAATTGTTTATTTTTCGATAATTATGACTTTTATTCACAAACTAAATTCAATCATCTGTTTATATCATCATTTACGAGCAAATAATCTTGTTTTTAGAAGAAAGTATTTCCGAAAAATATTTAACAAATTTGCTAAGCCTATAGCCTTACTTTTTCATCAAAAATTGATGCAACTAATCATGCTTTTTTCTCGAAAAACGCGACTTCTATTCCAGGGCTGAATTCAATTCTTGATTATTCTGGTCATTTAGAAAGGAGTAGATTGGTTTTCAAGGAAGAAAAAAAATCGTTAACAAATTGACAAACTTTCTAAGCCTAAAGCCTTACTATTTTACCAAAGATCTCGTCTGTCTGAAATTGTTTATCTTCGACAATTAATTACTTTTTATTCACAAACTAAATTCAATCATTGTTTATATCATCATTTACGAGCAAATATCTTGTTTTTAGAAGAAAGTATTTCCGAAAAATATTTAACAAATTTGCTAAGCCTATAGCCTTACTTTTTCATCAAAAATTGATGCAACTAATCATCCTTTTTTCTCGAAAAACGCGACTTCTATTCCAGGGCTAAATTCAATTCTTGATTATTCTGGTCATTTAGAAAGAAGTAGATTGGTTTCCAGAAAAAAAAAATCGTTAAAAATTGACAAACTTTCTAAGCCTAAAGCCTTACTATTTTACCAAAGATCGATCTGTCTTGAAATTGTTTATTTTTCGACAATTATTACTTTTATTCACAAACTAAATTCAATCATCTGTTTATATCATCATTTACGAGCAAATAATCTTGTTTTTAGAAGAAAGTATTTCCGAAAAATATTTAACAAATTTGCTAAGCCTATAGCCTTACTTTTTCATCAAAAATTGATGCAACTAATCATCCTTTTTTCTCGAAAAACGCGACTTCTATTCCAGGGCTGAATTCAATTCTTGATTATTCTGGTCATTTAGAAAGGAGTAGATTGGTTTTCAGAAGAAAAAAATCGTTAACAATTGACAAACTTTCTTGGCCTAAAGCCTTACTATTATACCAAAAATCGATCTGTCTTGAAATTGTTTATTTTTTGACAAATATGAATTTTGTTCACAAACTAAATTCAATCATCTGTTTATATCATCATTTAGGAGAAAATAAACTTATTTTTAGAAGAAAGTATTTCCGAAAAATATTTAACAAATTTGCTAAGCCTATAGCCTTACTTTTTCATCAAAAATTGATGCAACTAATCATGCTTTTTTCTCGAAAAACGCGACTTCTATTCCAGGGCTAAATTCAATTCTTGATTATTCTGGTCATTTAGAAAGAAGTAGATTGGTTTCCAGAAGAAAAGAATCATTAAAAATTGACAAACTTTCTAAGCCTAAAGCCTTACTATTTTACCAAAAATCGATCTGTCTTGAAATTGTTTATTTTTCGACAAATATGACTTTTATTCACAAACTAAATTCAGTTATCTGTTTTTACCATCATTTAGGAGAAAATAAACTTGTTTTTAGAAGAAAGTATTCCCGGAAAATATTTAACAAATTTGCTAAGCTTATAGCCTTACATTTTCATCAAAAATAGACGCGTCAGAAAAAAAAAATTTTCATTAATTAGTTTTTTTTAAGTTTTGTACTTTTTATGTATAATATTTCATAGTGAAATAAGAATTCAGTACTGTTACTACTGAATCAGAACAGTCACTACCAAATCAAAACACATGAATTGATGCTGTCGTATAAAGTTATGAAAAAAGTGATTTTGCTGAATGTAGTACGAAAACACTCTGTACAGCAAGTATTTGCGCATAAACTTCATCATTTCGCAGTAGTTCTTATAGGACTCTCACTAGAATTAATTTTAAGAGACTTTCGTTAAAAAATGTGATACGAAAATTATGATTGTGGCAAGGCTGTTGGCTTTGAGCTTGCTAAAAGATCGACCAAGATCTTTCCTTACCAAAGCAAATTTCAAATCTATTTCATCATTTCTAAGGTTGTTTGATGCAGTTTTGAATAGATTTCAAAATATTTTCAAGAAAATTTTTTAGACATTGATTAACCAGTGGCAGAGTTTAAACAAAAACGGCGTAAAATTGATACTGAAGATGCTAGTCATTCAAATTCCGATCTTTTATAAACCTATTGTGATAAGAAACCTACATCTAAATCTATTCATCAAATGGGTATACAGTACAGTAATTCTTAGAACAGTTTATTCACAATTTAATCGCTGTAAATACATCTTCTACAAGTCGTTTGTAAAACCAGATATTGCCATTTAGTCTTTTGTTACGAATCCCTGAAAACGAAATGTTAAGTACCATATCAATGATATTCTCAAAACATAGTTTGCAGTTGACACACAGCTAATCACAATAATGTTATTATATTTCCGTTTTCTAACCGTTTTGTTCTCACATAACGTTGTTCTAACGTAATTCGTGAAAAGATTATACAATATATATTATGATGATAAAACTTTATCCTATAGTGATCCCATTACCAGATTTTTACGGCAACAAAAATAAAGTAATTTTAAGAACGATTGATAAGAAAAACACCTGAATAGCCATAACATGGAATCAATGTGTCAATGAATTGTACCTACCCACAACATTATCCACTTTGGGTATGGCACAGATTTCGATTTCGCACGTCATTTTCTTTCCTTCACTGTCCAATGCTTTTACACGAAAAAGGAATCTAGGTATTTAAAGCAAATTTATAGCAACCCATGCGTAGCAGAACTTTATTGAGCACGACGAAGGAGCAAGCTGATTATAAATAGTGCCCAGCTGACGGCGCATGTTTTCTGTTACTGCTGACAAAAAGATGTCACTTGTTTGCTAGCTTCTTACAATGTCATGGCTGAAGTTTTCAGCGAATTACCCACTTTTTCCAATTTTGAGCGCAAGTTTAAGCGCTTCAAGTATAAACGAATTCAATTGAAGGTCAGAGTCTTGTCAAACCCAAAAAGAAAGGGTAAAAAGTGAGCCTGTGTCAATAGCTCTGCACAAGACAAAAAAGTTCCAATCAAACTATAATCTTCAATATTGATATTAATGTTAAATTATAGGGAAACACTAATAGACCCTGTTAAGGGATAAATTTTAGATGAAAAAGATACAAGACATAAAATACTGAAATATGCTTTATCAGATACAGCATATATACAGAGGAAATATGCCACCAAATGGTAATTACTGACCTTGATCGCAATCCTACTCCAGTTTGCGGCTTCGAAAGCAATTACAATTTCATTGAGCAAAACGATTCAATAAAGTATGCGAAGGACTGTGAAAGCCAGCCATGAAGATCTTAGTTTGAATGTATTTTTTAATATGAAATATGATATGTATATAAATGAGAGAGCAAATGGCATACCTCTTGGGGTTTGTGATGCTTGCTATATCATAATAGGATGGAAGGTTTTCAAGAACTCTTGCCAACTCCTTTCTGACATCTTCTGGGTATTTTGTTGATGTATTTCCCATGTGATAAAATCCCTGGAATGTAATTGCTACATCAAGGGCCGCAGGTTTGCAGAATTCTTGGGCTACAAGTGTCTTTTAGACATGGCGTCTAGTTGCGTCTAGTTCGAGAGAACACTTTCTCGTATACACATTTTTTACAAGGATAACTAATTTTTTGCCGAGCCTCGATTTTTTCCAAAAATTTTCGATCTTGAGCCTAAAATTATTCTTAACTTATTCTTGCCCAACACAAGGTGTAAATTCGCCTTAAGATTAAAGAAAATTTTAAACCCTTTTTGATGTGTTGCTTCATCATAAATTTCAACAAGAACAAACAGAACAACGAATGTGATATTTAAATGTAAAACATGTTGTGATATTTTAATTAAAACAAAATAACAGTTGTTTTGCTTTGGGAGAAAACTCAGATTGAGGAAAAATTTTAGTCTTGTTGAAGGTTGAGCCTGGTGTTATTCTTAAATTATTCTTAAATTTTAGCAATTTTTAGCCTATATATTCTTATAGACTTTATTCCTTTAAAAAAGTGTGTTTGCATAATTTTCTATAGAGGCACTTTGTACAGAGGCCCAGACACAATATCATTTCATTATGTAATGACCAATTTTATTGTTTTTATTGTGATTGAATATTGAGATTCTAGAATAAGTGATCAAATTTAAAAGAACAGGCAATTTTCTTATGAAATATGAAACATATTAGACAGAACCAGCTGAGTAAGATCAACAAGGGGAAAAGTTAAATTTGTTAATGAATAGCAATAGATTTGAATCCTTTTGTTTTACCTTTACTTTTCTCGGCTTTTCTTCCAGTTTGAAAACAGCTGAAACAAGCTGAAAATGATGCAATGAAAGTTAGGTTCAAGAAGAGATAAAGAAATTGGCGAAGGTCTTAAACGAGCATCCCTTTCACAAAAAGTAAAGAATGAATAGGCGACTCTTAAAAAATCAATTAAGTTTGAATGGTAGTTTTTAGGTGGATGATATCTCTCTTGCTGAACAGTAACACAGAATTATTTCAAATTTCAGTTTATCATTTAACGCTTTTTACTTGAAAATTCTCACCTCGTTTAAGCGACTTCCTGACCTTGACTTCGAGTCATTAATTGTGATTGATCTTGACTTAGTTAAATCGTTTTGATGATGACGTTCTAGCTCTTGTGAAGTGTGTGTTTGTGGGCTCTCGTTGATAGTCAAGAAAGGAGTCCTGGCACAAAGATGTTATGAAAATAAACGATGGCAAATCTTTAAGATAAACCATCAATGAGAAGGAAATAAATCGCGGAACATAATTATATGTGAAAATTTAATAGAGCAAGTATAGAAATTTTACTTTTCTGCTTTGTTTCTTTCATGCAATTACATAAACAAGAAACTAAATACACAATGAAAACGTTGAGGAAATTGCCACGCAAAACTTCTTAAAAGCATTCGTGCATGCTGGGCATTAGGAGAGCCTAAAGCACTCTTATCATAGAATAAAAACACGTTTTTCCGAGCACAAAGTATGGTGATGGCTAGCATAGTTAGTAGAATTCAAGAAAAATATCAAGAGGATCGAGATACGTATAAGAGCAGAATGTGCTTGACTCTTAAGAAATACCTGCTTGGTTCCTGTGAGCTGATTTTCCTCCTTGGTAGGCTCCAGTGGCCTTTTCCTTTTTTTGAACCTAGAGAAAAAAGACTCAATGAGATGCATCATCCAAAATTTGAGTTTATGAGTTTATCCAGAAAGTTTATGAGTTTCCAAAACTTTCTTACTAGCCTCATCAGAATCGCCTCGATTTTGAAGAAATCACGTGGTACCTTTAGCTTGTCACTGACAATGAAATCAAGAACTTACCCTAAAACTTCTCTGTTAACATGAATGACACCATTTCAACATTTTTAGAATTTCCAATACGAAGGACAAAAGATGTTTGCGTTTATTCAGCTGTCACGCATACTGATTGGGGTCATTGTCACCAGCCTGCATTGTAGATTAACGAAATAACATACCACTTTTGTACCTACCACTGACTTCTTCAGTATCTAGAAATCGGCCATCTTCTGTGTCTATGCCGTCAATCATTCGAAACAGTCCACGCTGCTCTGTTTTGGATCTTTGTCGTGTTGTTAGATTTGTATTTGACGGCTACACAAAGAGATGTTAAGGCTTAAAAAAAGCGACAATTCTAGTCTAAAAGAACGTTTTATGGGGCAGGCTCTATTAGATTTAAATTTTGGCCAACAGAGTTCTTGAACGAAAGTTTTCTCTCCTTGCTGCAAAGCCTAGATTATTGGTAAATTTTAACTTTCGATTAGCTCAATGATCAGGTGTACGAGGAAAAGAAAAGCTTTCAAGTTTGCATACTCAACAGCCAAAAGGCACACTCAAAGATGAAAAGAAATCAAATCCACTCACGCCAAGCAGACGAAGTTGCTCAAGATTCTCCCTACAAAAACCAAATTTCACCATATGTAAAACAAATGACAATTTTCAATTAAAAAAATTAGCTCCAGCAGAAGTAATATATTAGTAATCTATAGCTAAATTTTGCTACTTTCTAAAGAATTAGCTTTGAAAATATCAATGGATAGAGGCAATTAAAGACATTTGAAGCTTTGATGAAATAAGATAAACGAAAAAAATGAATGAGATTTAAAATCTTCCACAGCCGTTAAACATTTAACTATGAAAGAGAAAGTAATGCAATAAACCATTGTTTGGTATTAAATCAATTTTCTTGCCCACACATACGTGCTTAGTCCGTAAATGAGTTGAAATTTTCGAACATCGTCTTCCTTTTTTTTGGACAATATTAAGTAATGCGCCATTGTGTTGTCATACTCTTTCTGAAAAGGAAGCAAAAATAAATATATTTACGAAATTTTATCAATAAACTGTAAAGCATCAGACAATATTATTGTCTGCTAGCATGTTATCTCTACCTTTTCAATAATTTTGGTTACATTTTCCAAACTGATACCAAGTGCAGTTGCCACCTGCTCTGCCAGCTTCTCATCGACCGATGACACCTAGAATTAAAGCAAAATAATGCTGAAACCTTGCTGAAAGATTGCTGAAAATTTCTGGCAAATTTCATTATTTAGGGGAGAGCTATAGCCCCCAGCCCCCAAGCCATCACTCCACGATTAATGGAATAAGTCTATTGATAAAATAAGAAAGCCTTTTGAGGATAAAGATAATTTTCCATAAGGATAATTACAATTATATACTCAAAGTATACTGCTTTTCTGTATTTTATTTGAGTCTGGATAACTAAATTATTGGCACATGCGATTTTCTCCGATACCTTTCCATGAAATTAAAAGGCAATGCATGAATTTCAAGAATAACAAAGAAAGCGCTGTTGTTCCCCTGGTCCTACTTTGCCAGTGATATGATTGAAAATGTTAACCAAGTTTTCAAAGTGGGACTCTTCGTAACTTTGTACAGCGCAAGTTTGCACACGTTAACGATGTACAAGCAAATAGAAACGTACTGGTAGGCTACTTTCTGACGTCACTCGTTCCAGCTCCTTTCCATTTGTAACCCAGTCGTCTTCGAGCAGCTCAGGTACTGTTATCCTCTTTTTTGGATTTACCTTTTTTGGATTAGGATAACATAACAAAGTACTTTACATGTCAAAGAAACTCCCAAACACATGCAAGGGGTACAATGCATCTATGAATAGTTCAAAATCTACAAGGTACCTAATTTGAAGTTTGGGCGTATGTAATTATATACAGAGAAACCGATATTCGCCTTAAGGAAGACGGTTGAAAAAAAAGAAATATCATCCACCACTGACAAATTCAATATATTTGAAATTCTAACCCTAGCATTTGCCCTTTCAACTTTTAAAGTTATGTCATCAAACGCCCTAGCATTTATCTTTTCAGTCATCATCATGCTGGTGATATTTCTAATGACATCTTTACAAAAAGAAGCTTTTTAAAAAAGGCATTCACAATTCTTAGAAAGCCGAAAGTCTCTAAGTGGATGGAAAAGTCCGTAGGACAAATTTTAACATACTTCCTATGAACGTCATACCTCAAGCATTTTGCTGATCAGCTTAGCGCTGCCTAAAAAATCATAGATAGAAATACCCTTTTAAGATGTGTACAAGAAAATAAAAAAACTTTCTCAAACACTTTGCAAAACACATTAGTGAATTGCAAGAAAAATCGTTTTATTCGGGAATAGTGATTGAAAATAAGAAAGCATTCTTAAATTCTAAAACAAAAATGTTTATAAGAAGTATTCTGCTAATGACTGCATCTGTAAACTCCATAAATCATTGTGCTCTGTTTAAGCACAAAAGTTACTATTGCATAAAACGTGCGATCATCATGATGACTCGTTAGGACACCCAATAATTTTCTGATCAAATGTTTTTATTCTAAAAATAGCGGGCAAAAGAGGTGATAAATAGCAAAGTTTGCAATGAAAGACAGAAGCTCTTACCTTTGCTTAGATGCTTTGGTTTGAAGTATTCTCCTTTCTTTCTTTGAAAGAAATAAAGTCTTATATATTATAGAAACAAAAGACTTTAAAGAAACAAAAAGAATTTATATTGTGCTCATGGCAATGATAAAACTCTAATCACAAAGTTTTTTGTAAAAAAGAGGGCCTAAATCTACCCCTTTTATGGTAACTTTTTAATGGTCAATCGAGGATTGGCACTGGGCCAATGATTGTGCCAATGATAACCTAAAACAGATGAGAAGAAAGAAGGTGCAGTTTTTGCTGGGTAAGAAATTTAACGGGTTATGCCCCCTGCATCTTCTGAGGCTCTGCCACATAGCTTCTAAAAGCAAAGATAGATAATTCCAATAGTGGAAATTTTTGCATAAATCATTATTCGTTTGATTTAAAAAAGACTTAATGTTTTAAAGGGAAGTTAACAAGAGCTTGAGTTCTGCCCCTCTTTCAGCGTTAACAATTACAAGTCACCTTGATTTCCTCGTACAGCTCTTCTGTTGTATCTTCATCAAAAGGCAATCGACCGCAAAGAATGGCGTACAGTGCAACTCCAAGGCTCCAAACGTCAGTCTACAGAAAAACCCATATTCTGACAATCTAAGAATCTGCCCTTAAAAGAGCGATCACATCTCCTTTAGAATCTCCCTATTATTATGATTCAGTTTCCATCAGGCTTATCAATTTTTGAAAACACGTCTCTTGAATTTACAATATCAGTGAAGATCTATAAATTACATTCTAACATTTTTAGTTTTTGATTGTTGGGAATAGCTTTGATCGTGTACCAGAATTGTCGAGCGGGTACTATGAAACTTTTTGAAATAATATTATACATAATTTTTCTACCTGTATTTAAGAAATAAATATGCGGGTAAATTTGTTATCGACGATAACGACCAAAATAGTCGAACAAACCTGGTTTCCGTAATAAAGCTCTCCAGATACTAGCTCTAAAAACGAATCATTCAGATATGGGAGAAAAAGATAAAGTATGAAATCTATTCTACAAAACATTTCAATTATTTGTGTAAATCTGATCTATAGTTAATGTCAAATATTTTCGAACTCGGCTACAGATTACAAATAGAAAAACTGCAACATTTATGTTCTCATTTCTTTTAATAAAATTATTACAACAAAAGACATTATCCTTTTCATAAATCCAAAATAATTTTTCTGCCTTATATTATCACAGCTAATAGGGAAAAGATATACTGTTTTCCCGGCGTAGAAGAGGGAGAGAAAGTAATTAAATTCACCGACAGAAACAAAGATGAGTAAAGAAACAGAAAATGCTACCCCTGTCTTTTCTTACATATCGGTGGTTTTATTGAAAAGCATTAAGATTATGCCAGGCAAAGATGGCAAAAACAGGTATGCAATTTCTCAACAAAATCTTATTAGATAGGATATTAGATTAATATTTCTTAAAGGTATTGGCTGTTCGAAGAGGACTTACCAGGAGCTGCATAAGCTGGTGAGCCAACCCTTGTCAAAAGTGGTACCCCTAGACCACTTACTGGTTTCACAGACAGACCAAAGTCGATCATCTTAATTGACTTTTATAAAAAAAAAAGATGAACGTTTAGTCAGGAATTCAGGCAATTAACTTCAATTTGTGATACAAAGTGATCTCCGCTTTCAAAATACTGTCATAAATGATGTGTCCTAGCGCTGCTCTTCATCTAAAGTTTCTTCTTGAATCTTAAAAAAATGCTTTAGAATTTATACACCACTGTATTTCATATGATTTCAGTGGTTCTCAACTGGATAAGAAACAAAGGATAGAAACAAACCTTTTCGTTATTCAACAACATATTCTCCTAAAAATTAAATAGAAAGGAAGGTGAATAAAATTTATGCGTGCAAGCATTGGGTGTAATGAAAAAAAAATGAAATAACGTTTTATAAAAATAATCCTCGAACTTAATGTACATTGGAAGCAAACAAAGCAAGTGTAAGATTTGAATAGCCTTTCAATATAGCCAGTAATTATGACAATAGTAAATGTATTTTCTACTTGAAACACATGTTTTCTAGGAACACTGATAACTAAGAAAAGCTGGAGGTCAAGGAAGTTGTAGTTGGCTTATGCCGGACTAAAATCTAGGCCAGGTTTTCTCATATCTGATTATATTAGAATCTCTACTCATACCGCTGAGTTTTAGGTCAGGTTGCGTCTATCTCAAATGAAAAGTCTTTTATAGGCATTTTCATCTTCAACAGGTAGAGATTCTGCCACTTGAATAAAATAGAGAAATATTTTTTTCATAGTGCCCCTTTGACCCCTACCAATTCAATGTGTTTGATTTGAATGTAATATGATCGCCGCTGAAAATGGTCTCTGACAGGCATAGGCATAGACCTGAACTTGAATAAGCGAAATTAAACGCCAGAGGAAAGAAGTCTTGAGCAATATTATTGATAACTTATAGAGACGATTGAAACAAAAGGGCCTGTTTCAAACATGAAGATCCCATTCTTCCCTCTAAGAATGAATGGATGATATGAGACATTGAAGACACAACAACTGATTTTTATGCTCTCTGGTCTATTAAAATTAAAGGATGATTGAAACTTTTTCAACTTATACAATTTATGCAACAAAACCTATTCGAAAATTTAATATAAATTTTAACAAAGAATGACCGACCAGTGCAATACCTTAAAGGTAATCGACAGATACTTAAATGGTTTAAGCTATCTGTCAATCGCCTATTAACCAATCAACAAACGTTTTAGTAGCAATACGCTTACTGATTGGCCAATTTTGATTGACAGATTGCCATTTTAGTATCTATCGATTGACAATGTTTTGAAAGTGTCAATTCAAATTCGACTTACTGGCTTGATATCTCTATGGGCAATGCCATGCTCGTGAGTAAATGCAACTGCTGACAAAATTTGTCGAAAGAGAATCCGTGCTTCGCTTTCCTAGAAAAAAAGCAACTGGTGTAGCAGTTTGATGCAGTATAAGATAAAATAAATCTTAAATGCCACCTCTAAAGAGCATTAAGATTTTTGTTTAAAATTCAAAATTTATGAATGCCTTTTTTATGCAAAAATTATCAAGTCTTGACAAATAACATGAAAAAGATGATAATAGTTTTTGAAACCCTAAGCCATGTTGCAAACAGCAAGTAGAACATTTTATCCCTCCGATTTGATTGATAGAATTTTATGTTGAACCTTGTTTATTATTGCTGGACTTTTATACGTGGAAGGAAATCTTCAAAGTTTTTAAAGGTTTCAAAGTCTCTCTGCTCTTGTAAAAGGATTGAAAAACAATTGAAACCAATAATTACCGGTAGCTTTTTCTTTGAAACGATGTAATCAAACAACTCTCCACCAGGGCAATGCTATAAAAAATGAGACGTTATCGTACTTGCCACTTCTAGACGTTAAACTTCCGTTCAAGTTTTTAGAACTGAAATTCTTTTAGGATTGGAGTAAAAAGAATAAAACCTAGGCCCGGGGTATAGAAAAATGCCCATTTTTCACTCGGACTATTTGTTGGAACTCTTAAAATCTGCCACATAAGAGCAAAATTTAAGGCATGGTTTGGGTATGGTGGTTTATTTTATTTGTTTCAAATTGGCGTACCTCGAGGTTTTTTACCATTATCAGCAAATTGATTGCAAGGGTCTGGATGGCACCTTGCGAATTTTATCTTGGTTTTATCAGATAAAGGTTGACAAAATTCAAAGTTGACAATATCACTGTGAAATTTCAAGATGTGAATTTGTTTGGTTTCTTTTAAACATATCAGCTGTGCTTCAGGCATCATCCTACAAGGAGAGTAACTGACAAATGCAACTCAGGGCAAATGCATCTCAGGGCCAAAGCCTACCTCCATCACCAATGAAATGTACCCATCACTTTCAACAACTTGAAATAGCTGGCATATGTTTTGGTGCACGAGAATTTTTAGAGCATCTACTTCGCACTTAAATCGATGAAGGTTGTTCTGAAAAAAATAAACGCGAATTATAACTACTCCGAAACGCAAGGTGTCACAAGAAACCGTTTATATTAGTAGTGAGCAGGACTCAGGATCAAGCCTTGGATATGTATGCTCAAATGAAAATATTTGTCACATACGAGTCTTAAATGTGACAGAGTATCTCTAGCATAATTTTAAAAGCATCTTTTGAATACCAATAACAACAAATTTGGGATGGTATGGGCGCACATGTTGGGCTGCTATTCAAGCTAGGCTATTTCGAATGAGCCTTGGCAGCAAGTAGGTTTTTCTAGATTACAGAGAAATTAAAAGGTCACAGAGCATATTGATATCTCGGGGGGGGGCGGGGGCTACCAACCCTGATTTTGGACCGAGACGTGCCATTTTGGTTAATTATTTGGACCCATAATTCCGCACATGTCTGAAAAAATGTGACCTATAAATCCGCAAACATGATGGAAACTATACGCATAATTCCGAGAAAGCAAATTAAACTTTTTAAGCACAACAAAGTCATCAAACAACTTTTGCATGTTCTTTCATTTCATTTCTTACTGGACATCTCCATAACTTTAAGAATATTTTCCAAAAATGATGCCCTTAATTCTGCATGTTTTATCCAATGGTGCCCAAAGCTCCGCACATATTTCAAAAACTGTTATCGGTAATTCCGGACTTTTCAGAAAAAAGGTACCCCTAAGTAATGGCACGTCCCTGTACCTTCAAACATGTCAAGGTACACCCCCCCCCCCCCCCCCCCCCTGAGATTAACATAATGGACACCTTTTAGATAGTGCAGATGTAAATACATATCATTTGGTGTAAGACTTATCTTCTTGGGATACTAATGCTTGCTTGCAGAAGATGGGGTACTATATTCTCAAGCAGTTACTGACCAGTTTGTCTGTGATTGAAACCATATCGAAAGAAGGCTTTTTAGATAGGCAGGGGGAAACAGTGATCAAACCTTTTTCTTTAGTTTCTCTTTGCTCATAACTTTGACAGCAACCTGGAATAAGATAATATTGCTGAATATCATGGGGAGCGATCGATTATCCACAGGAAAATAAATTTATAATGCAACATGAGGCAGATTAAAGGAAGCATCAGCCCTCCTGTTTAACTTGCCCGAAAACGATGTCATATCGTAAGACTTACTGGCTTTTTCTAATTGATGATTTTGGCAAACTTTGAACTAATCTTTTATCTTATTTATACGAACAACCGCTGTGAAAATGTTTTATTGGAAAGAAATGGAGCAGACGGACTTGATTGCTGTGAATAAATGACCACAGGAAATAATTCAGGTTCACAAAACTTTTGTCAACGGACAGTAAACTTCAAAAAAATGTTCGTACTTCAGTCTTGATCTATTTTCCAAACTTTTAAACACTTCGAGCTTTTCAATTTTTTCAGACACTCCAACTCGCTCCAAACACGCCAGTTTTGTATACAAATTTTATGACCCAGTCGATAGATTTTTGACATGTTCATAAAATTCGTTAAAGCAAGCGGGTTAGAAAGTACCTACCATTTCTTGTGTCCCGCGGTGCTCAGCAAGAAGAACTTTGGAAAATGCACCTAAAGAAAATCAAATGTGACAAATTTATGTTGATTCATATGCAGTAGAGGAGTTACAGATTTCGTGTTTCATTGAATGCCATCTTTTTAAGAGATAATCATCGAGGTCATCGAGTTTTTCAATCACTGACGGATAATGACCTGCCAAAAGTTAGGCGAAAGCTTTCGGAATTGAAGTTCTGCAGTGCTAGAGGCTTATTTTGCTATATATATTTCTATGATTGATACTCAAGTCGATGTTCCCGCGATTTGCGTGGGAGTTAGTTGATTCGGATCTGCAGAAGAACGCTCACAACGAATCAAGGCTGTGTCCTGTAGTTGACGGACACCAAAGTGAGGTCCCAAGGAAGGTCCCACGGGAGGCAATTGGGGGCTTAAGCTTTGCCTCCGATGCTTGTCGCAAACTGCAAATACCGTTTGGCAACATATATGGATAACATTCCTTGATAAACATTCTCCGACTTGAAAAAGATTATTAGGTACGGCTTGCACTCAACAAAGATCAGGAGAGACTTTTTTTATCAAATTCGGGATACTGATCATTCCGATCTGCCGAAGACAATTCAATTATTTTTTAATCCTTCGTTTTAGCAAATTTGTTCTAACAATTCTTTTAGGTTCTTATTTGAAATGGGGCCATGGAGCAAGCCTGTTGTCAACAACTAAAGCAGTGTCCAACGGTCAAGGCTTTCGAATGGAAAGGAAAATAATGTATAATGATGAAAATTAATACCCCTTTATAAAGCCAAAATAAGCTGATATTTTTGTCAGAGATAGCAATCTTTCGGTTTCTGATTTACGTCAATAATGAATGGCCAAATTTCTACCAGTTTTTATTGGAGCAAATAATATCAAATCTTTGACTAAATTTAGAACAAATCTTTTTTGAAATAAACCAAGGTAGAGCGGGGGAAAATGCATTTTTAAGATTATGAAAACTACACTCGAGTCAGTAGTGAAATCGTTAGTTAGAAAAGCCTTGCTGAACCTAGAGAAAGTCCCACATATTACAAGTTTGCTTCTATTTATGGTTGAGTAATAAGCGTGAAGCTGGATGTCCATTGTATCTGGTCCTTTATCAGAAGCATCAAGCTACAAGAAAATCGAACTGCATTTCCCAGCCCGAAATGCTGTCAGGAAAAATGTTGCTTATTACTTTCCCCCATCCCTTGTTAATCTTTCTTGTCAATAATCCTAGTATTCTGTTTCAACACCCTTTTGATCTGAATCCCAGATTTGATAAAAAACATATATTTGCCGTCCAAAACGAAAACCCAGCGATCTGTTTGGAGACAGCCTGGTGAGAGAATTTGATGCTTGATTCCGGGTAGATTACTAAAAAATAAAAGGATGGAAAGCAACTGCATCTGTGCTTTCAAGAAAACATCATCTAGTAGTTTTAACAAATAACTTAAGAAATTTGGCGCATCATTTCAAATATTGTTGAGAAACAGAAATAGTAGTCGACTGCTTGTTTTGAACAGAAACTGCACGACTGGAACAAAACTTGATTGTAACGTGTTTATGAATGGACGAGACTTACAACTTTGCACTGGCAGACAAAAATATTAAGCAAGCAGTTGTGAATCTACTAGTGGTTTGAGAGTAGGGGATTGCTAATAGATGCTGAACTCCCGGTCCTGTGTCACATTGTTGCCCTCCCGGTACTGTGTCTATCATCACAAATATGTTTATAAACATACCTGATCCAAGTTTCGTGTACTTATTTTCGTAAAATTCATCAAGCTCTTCAGGGAAATAAATTTCTTCGTCCTCATCTTCCTCTGACCTCACAGACATTTTGACTCTTTTCTCACTGGGCGTTTGAATTGTACCCAGGATTTATTGCTGAACCAATTTCCGCGTGGACATCATCTTCGAAGAAAGGCAACGTTGACACAACACTATTGACATGTGAACTGATGACTCTACTTCCGCTAGTACAACAACACGCCAGTGAGAGGGATTTCGTTTTCGATTTGTGTGGCCACCATAAATGAGTGTCCAGGAAAGGATGGCGTTACTGGTGGCCAAAGGGGCAAACAAGGGGCAAACAAGGGGGTTTGTGTTCAAAAATCCTATTAGTTAGCCTCTAGCGTCGTCTCGTCTCTTCAGCAGGCCAAGTCCGCAACTGCACTTGTAAATAAAATGTTAGCAATGAATGCAAAATATTTAGTTCGAGGTTAATGTATGAATGAAGAGCAGAACGTATGAATTTTTCTTGAAAATACCAGAACTTGCATAAAATTGTGCATTATTTCATGCGATCTATTGTGCTACCGCTACAACTTGAAAGGGCTCTTCTCAGGACCGCGCACCGGTCTAAATGTGGGAGGGCTGAAAAAGGCATAACCGAAAATTGTTTTGAGGCCATGCTCTCTAAAACGCCGGGAAACGCCCCTTTTAGAAAATACTGGCTCATCTCTACTGGGGTTTAATAAACAGTCTGTTTCAGAGAAGATATCAATAGCTATAGAATAGATAAAATTGTTTTGAAGCCAAGAAGAACTGCTTCTATTTAGGAGTATACTATTCAATATTGCGTAAACTTTCCAAAAAGTTTTCCAACATATATTAATTATCGCAAAAAAGTGGAAGGGCTGTAGCCCCTGCTAGCTCAATGGCTGCGCGGTGCCTGGCTCTTCTTCCTTTTGAAATGGATCGTAATATGCTCCGCGATACCTGTCCAATGTAACATTATATTTTGCCTTTCACAGGCGATGTCTCCTCGATGAGCGAAATATTTCATTGGTACTTACTTTCAGCTGAGGAACGCATGGTGAAGCGACTATCGATGTTACCATGAGGGGCGTGGTAAAACAGATTTTGAGAACGACATCTCTCCTGCCTCACGTATTCAACAAGCTCGTACTACAGAAAAGCCAAAAATAAACAATCAAGTTTTTGCTAGCCAAAGACAAACACAATTTTAATAGATGGCTGCCAAAAGCCTGGATGATTTCATAACGTGAAATTATCGCAATGAATTCAACTTTGGTGACAGAAGACCATTACGATATTAAGAAGTTTGATATCAAAAGTGAAACAGAAAGTCATTTATTTTTGGAAATTCGTGGCTTAAGTGGTTTTATATGAATATTGAAGTTCTTAATCCAATAAAAATACAAGTTCGAACTCTAAAGAAGGAAGTTCGAACTCTGAAGAGAGAAAGCTAGGGACAGCGTAGGAAGGACCAAGAAAATTGAGTGTTCTTCATCCCACTCTCCTTTTCGCCACAGACACCTGGATACTGCAATATAACTCATTTTCGTTTTTTCTGTCTCTAAAATGATTGATAACTTTAAATAGTTGGAAATGTTGATGTTTGATGCTACTATACTCTTTGGTCTCTAAAATAAAATATACTCCGTTAAAATCAGGGGAAAAGGCATTTGCGACATGTATTTGCGGTAGTTCAAAAATCACCCCTCCTTTCTGGTTAAATCAAAATCAACACCCATCTTTCTGTACATAAAAATACAAGACGGATTAAACCACCTTGTACTCCTTTACGAAGGGAAGATAATAAGCAGATAAATGTTTTGGTATCATACGGGTTAAGCTTTTCCGTGAGCTGAGCCCCACGATAATGGAACTGTTACATGTTACTCTAGACTTTGCTGTTGTACCTTGACCAGCAAACTCGCAAAAATATATCCAAGGCCCAAGGTGAGATCTGCTTATGCTCTCAATGAAACTCAAGACCTTTGTTCTCAACAATGCTGAAAGCAAAAAATGTTTTTCTGATTCTTTTTTGACACAGACTTTCCAGCCAGTTATAGTACTTAATCAATTTAATTCATGCAACCGTATATAGATTCTGAAAGCTATTGGCTGGATATCCTCAAACGTAGTATTTACCTTATACCAATTATTTGAACTCTGAAACAATTAATTAGCAAGCTGCACACTGCTCAACGAAGCATTTACAGCTTAGAGGACCTCTATAATCAACTGCATTGTCTAATGACTCAACATTCATTTGTTATTCAGTAACCCTGTTCTGAATCAGATACAAGTGATTTCAGTTGGTTAAACACGTGAATTGTTGATCCATTCATGTGCAGCCGAGAGCAGGTTTCTATTCATGGAAGCTTTCACAGGTTTAATTTTGTTTAAGCAAACTTAGGCCTGGGCACAAATTTTCCCTAAAGGTCGTTTCCAATTTCACATTGCATATTAAAAGTTGATCTTTTCACAAGTAATTGTAATTCAAGGTTTCATCCATGCAGGAATCAGGGACTAGGCAACACAGAGCTCAGCAATGGTGATGCTCATCGCAAATCACAGAAAGAAGTGGCTCGTGCTCTTGGTAATCTTTGCATTAGCCACGGTATATGCAGATCTTGACCTTAGCAGATACGAAAGAGATCTAAGCGCTGCAAATGAACATGGATCCGATCAAGATGTTGATATTTTCATCGCAGAAATTCTCCCGGAAGGAGCACAAAACTTGGAGCAGATGTTTAGACCACTTGCCAGGTATAAAAAAGCAGTCATAGACGCTCAGATTGAGCCGGTAGAAGAAGCACAAAATACAAAAAACAGCGACTCTGAGTTTCTTGTTCCGTCTGCGCACAACAGAAATACATTGACAGCATACAGCAGTCTCGAATCTACAACCCAAACGCCTACGAGCAGTACGTTTTACCGTATAAAACCATTGACCATGTATGAAGAGCAAACGAAATCGAGTTCAAGCGTAATTCATTCTGAACAACCAACTTTTTCAACAGATAAAACAGAGCGAGGTGAAGGAATCATGAATGCTTCAGACGATGCTGAACCTTCAAATGACCAATGGAGCAAAGATGGAAGTGGAAGTGGTACTGCTGGAGACGAGGATAGTAGTGGAGACAAAACAGTGGATACTATTGCTCCTTTAACGACTACTAGCGGAGCCAGTAAAGCTGTTCAGAATAATGGAAATATTTCGTCAAATAGTTTCAATGATTCAAAGAATATGGCCTATTCTCATAACGTAATTGATTTTTCAGAGGCTTATAATAATAGCGCGAATTCTGCACCAATTTATAACATGAAAATAAATCTAGAGTATCGACCAGCGGATGAAGATAGACATGAACCAGCTAAAAATGTAACTGTTCAAGCAATAGGGAAAAATGATCCACTGGATCAGGAAACAGATCAAACTACTGATTACAAAGGCAACACGTATACATCAACTGCTAATCCACATATCTACAATGCGAGATTTAATTATACACATCTTTACCAGACCGTTCAAAGGCAAGAACCAAAAGCTGGAAAGGACACTAAAATCGGAGAGCAAGTGAGCACAACTGAGCAGTTGAGCACCAGTATGCATATAAACTCTACTGAACACGTAGGTACCAGTGAGCATATGAGCACTAATGAACAATCAGTAAACAGCTCATTAAATGCGGCAGTGAAACAAGGTGCGGGTATTTATACTGAGATTGGCTCTGGTGGTGATGATCCTGCAAATGAGGCTGAAGAAGACTCAGAGATTTCAGGTGAAAAAGAGGCAAACGATGAAAATAAACCCGAGAGACAGCATAAGTCAATTCAGCTTGGAACTAATTCAAGCAATTCAAATATGGAGAATGACGAAGCAGTAAGTTCAGTTTTTGGAAAGATGTCATTGGATAAAAACAACAAGATTCATCGCCTGAATATATTAAAGCCTAATGCAAACTCATTTGAAGAAGATCAAAAGAAAGATAATTATGCAAATGAATATACATCTGATGGTTTAAGGGCGATTAAACGACCGGAGAATACGACAAGGAGCATTGTTGGAATCAATTCTTTGCAAACGCCAAATGTGCAACAGGAAAATTTTCCAGTTAATCACGATGTGGACGACCAAAAAGAAAGCGACAACAAAGATCAAACTCAATTAGATCAAACATTCAAGAGTAATCCCAGGGCAGATACAGTGCTGCACTCTTCTGTAGATAATCTCTCCAATGCAAGTAATGTTGATCTCCAGTTGAAAAAGAGTAATAGCACTGTCTATAAAACAACAGACGTAAATTCGAATTTCGGGGATTTACAGCATAATAATCGAGAAATGTCAAGTGGTGCAGTTACTGACCATACAGGTTTTGCATCCAGCTTTCAAGGTATGAGTAAAGATCTGCCAAAAGAAAACATAACATCTGTCTCTACGACAAGCTTTAAGTCAGGACTGGACAATAAATCAGGGCTATATACTGGCCTAGAGTCTGAAATGAAACAGAATGAAAAACCAATATCAAACAGTTCAATAGAATCAAAAAATAGCCAGGGTGTTAAACTAACTAAAGAAGAAGCTGCGAGAAAAATATTTATGTCAAGCTATGAAGTAAAGGAAGAGTTGGAAAATGCAGAGGCTGAGAACCCAGGGTCTGGGGAGAGAGAAGAAGCCGAGGAAACTACTAATGACAAAAATGTGGCAGGCAAATCTAAAAATAGTTTTTTAATGACAACTGTGGAAGATGATATAAATAATTTGAAGGATAACTCACTCGTTGACGGACAACATGAATCAGCGAACACAGAAGCTAGAAAACATTTCGAAAAAGTTTCTGATGCAACATTAAAAGACAAAGGGTCATTGCATTCGGATTCTAGAAAATCGCCCCTCACAAAAAAATTTTCACCTGACAAAAATGGACTATTAGCTCAAAACCAAGAGGTTAACAAAATACTGCCTCACACAAGACAGGGAAAGTCCTTAAGAAGTGGAAAAAGTCGCCATAATGCAGAGAAAAGTGATAGCGAAAGGAAAAGAAGCAATTCGAGAATTAAGGTACAGAAGACAAAGAAAAGGAAGAAAAGTGGAAGGAATTTTATAATAGCAATGATGAGCGAGAAAGCAAGAGAACTTTACAAAACGCTGATACATGATACGTCTAAGGCTTTGATGGCAAGAAAACGCCATGAAGAGAGAAGAAGGCATCATATGAGGTATACAAAACCAGGCATTTATGCTGAAAAGAAACAAAAAGGAAAGTTTCAAGTCATCAGGCCAGATAATCGAGCTAATGTGAAAGGTCCTATTGGCCTGAAGAACTTGGCAACAAACATTTTGAGTACAATGGTGGCCAATGATCACAAGCTTTTGCAACAGGCAGCGACTAAAACTGTTGAGGTTGGCGAAATAAAAGACTTTACCCAATCAAAACAGAATTCATTGGTAGAAAAACTAGCAGAGTTGAAACTGAGCACCAAAAAGTCAAAAGAGATACCCTTGCCACTAAGAGAAAATGAGGAAGACACAAGCTTGGACAGTGATGCCATGGAGAATGAGAATCCAGGAAAAACTGTGCTTCAAAAGCAAACCAAAGTTGGTCTGGGTAATAATGTAAACTTAGACAATCTCGATGGAGTTAAACAAGACTATGAATATAAGACGATTGACCAGGAAATAGAAGGCGAACTGGCAACAAATGAAAAGATCGAAAAAGAGAGCATCGGGGCAATGATAGGAAAACTCTCACCAAATGAAGAGAATGCTTCATCTGAGTTAATTATGCAGTCAATGGCAACAGGAAATTCCGCTGCAGCACTGCTGTCATCATATAATTCGGAGGAGAGCCTTGAAAATAAAACAGAACAATATCAGAGCCAGACAAATGGAGTTACAAACATGACAGCAACACCTTTAAAACAAGAAGGCGGAAAGCAAAACATCACTGAGATACAAGCTAAAAATACTAGCTCAACTCGGGTTCCAGAAAACGCAGGTACTTGGCGCAGTGAGAAGGAGAGAATGGCGAAAGCTATGGCGCGATTGCGCGGTCAGTTGAGAAGACATCCCTCGCTATATTTTGCTGGAAATAGCAGTCTATGGAAGAACCATCCAGTAGTGTCTATGAATATTGACGATCTTGTTCACGTGTTTTACGAAGTGAATCACAAGAACTTGATTGATTTGGTGGAACATCCAACTGCACAACCAAAAGGTAATGATATCGCACAAAACAGAAAGATGGGCAAGAACAACATCACAGAAAAAGAAGCAAAACACCGAAAGCTAAGGAAGAAATTTCAAAAAGAAGTTCAAGAAAAACCCAGAACGAAAAGGAAGAAAAGAAAACATATGAGAAAAAAGAGTAAAGGTCGTAAGAAAAGAAAGCACCATCGCGCAAAAACATTTCTTCCCTTGTCATCAGAAGGAAGCAATGATCGATGGAAGGATAAGCATAGAAAGAACAGGAAGAAATCAAGGTCGCATGTAAAGAAGACAAATAGGTTACATAAGCATAGATATAAAGCAAAGAATCACAGGCACGTGAATGGAATTGCCAAATTTGGAATAAGTGGTACACTCAAAATTCAGAGCCCAGCTGAGGAACCCACATTTAAGAACCATATGCCCAATAATGTTAAATATTTCAAAATCGAGAGGGCAGCGAAACAGGGAGCAGTCTGTATTGATGGATCAATCCCGGGCTACTATTTTCGGCAAGGTAACGGAAAAGACCATAACAAATGGATCATTCATTTACACGGTGGAGCCTGGTGCTACGATCCCGAAACGTGCTACCGACGCAGCAAATCTATACTTGGTTCGACGAAGCACTGGTCGGCTGAAAACATAACAAACTTCTTCCAAGGAATCCTCTCCGATAAAAATGAAATCAACCCTTGGTTCAAGAACTGGAATGTCGTAGTTCAGTCATACTGTGACGGAGGCTTCTTTTCTGGGAAAAGAGTAGAGCCTTTAATTTATCGGGGTGCGAAAATGTATTTCAGGGGACGCCAAATCCTAAAAGCAATGATCAAAAGTTTAAAAGGAAGAGGTTTGGAAAAGGCCAGCGATGTTATCTTGAGTGGAACGTCTGCAGGAGGTCTAGCAGTTTTGTTACAGGGTGATTACTTAAAGCACAAACTTCCAAAGACTGCGACAGTCCGTGGATTAGTTGATGCTGGATTCTTCCTAGATTCACAAGCAGAAGGTAGCGTGGATGTCACAGAAAACCAGTTTAAGGGACTGTACGAAACGCACATGCCTAAACTGAGGACCAAATGTGAGAAAGGAAGAGACAACAGTACAAAATTCAAATGCTTATTGCCTCAAAATATGGTTCAGTATACAAGTTTACCACTGTATTTTGTGAATTCTCTTTACGACCATTGGCAACTTTCAGAGTTGCACCAGTTGCGGTGTATTTACAATAACGAAAAGTGTCAACCGCAACAGCGCGATCGCATTTTAGAGTTTAGAAACGACATGTATAAGAACCTAAAAGAGGCTTTAAAAGACTCTAAACATCACGGTTTGTTTGCAGATTCGTGCATCGGGCACGGGCAAGCGATCGTGGATTACACATGGTCTCGTATTCGAGTCAATAATCAGACTTTAAATGATGCATTTAACGAGTGGGTTAACGATAAGCACGGTGAAAAGAGACACTGGAACGTTGACTGCCACTTTCCATGTAATGGTAGCTGCCCAAAGCCGCTAGTGAAATCCTGTATTAAAAACTTTGAAGGGGCATCGCAGAATCATCGAACGAAGAGATTTACAGAATTATGTTAATGTTGCTTTTCATTTCGTGTATAGTATTAAGACTAGATAATGTGATCGTTGATGTTAGTATCTTCAAAAATCCGTACGGGTTTATGGTGTTCAGTCTGATTGGCGGTCAGGCGAAAACATACCGGCTAATTGACACCTTACTTGTCGAAAAATCTTACTGGTACTCTCTCTAAAGAATTAATTTATCTACGTTGTGATGTACCAGGATCGATCGTAGTGATACTAAATATGTTAAATTTGAATATAATCCCCGATTTTACTTTTCGTTAGGATCTTTACATTAACATAATGCAACGATATACACTAGCAAACCAGGCTTACCAAATCAAAAAGTAGCCCTTATAGAAAGAATTTTGAGCTCATTTAACGGAAGGCTATAAGGCTCACATAAATGATCTTACTAGACGCTCGAGGATGCTGATTTGGAGTCGATATAACATGCACGGGAAACGATCGCAAATCTGTCGGTATTAATCTGTAAAGCATGCCAAATCTACTTTAGTCAGCAAAGATTAACGTCATTATCAACGATTATCGAAGTTCGGCGCTATCTTACATTTGCCTAAAGTTGTAAAGTGAAACAAGCATCAACCTAATATAGATAATTTACGGCTAACATTAAAGACAGCAAGAATCTGAAGAATACACCCATACATCCCCTAAGAAAATGTTTGATTAAGATGAAGCGCCACTTGTTCAAGAAGCCTTGTGCAAAATAGAAATAAAGATGACATTTTGCAGAAACCCCTAGGCGGTCACTTCTTGAAATTGTCATTTTTGACAGCTTTATCATTTATTTAGAAGCGAAGCTATCATAATTAATACTCACCGAAGCAATGATTATTGTGTAAGTTTTTTCCATTGTCGCTTTACAAACTCCCCAAATCATCTTTACACAGCTGTGTAAATTCAGTTCAAGTGACACAGTCTTCTCTATGATCGTAAAATGCTGTATGATTGATGTAGTTTTGTTCGTCATTAATGTGTCTACAAGACTTTCACCGTCAGTTTAATGTCAATCATATTCTGCATTTTCTATTTACTGGGAAGTAAAGCCCATATAAGACCCAATAAGGCACCCTCAAAACTACAGAGCGAACCAGAACGTGCCCCTGTTGGCAACAGTTAAAAATAAACTCATTGTTTTGCCATTGAAATGCTAAGTTTTAAACCTTGCAGACAGGAATCCTGTCACAGGTACTATGCAAAAGAAGCCTATTTTGCAGGCAACTTTAGAGGCATCTTTAGGAGCTAGCTACAATATAACTATTTTAGACAGACATTTTAATGAGAATATAAAGCAATATTAAAGAGATGATTCCATAAAGGAATCGCAGTAATAGGGCGTGGATTTTCGTTTTTGTTTCTTCTAAGGCTAATTGATTCAATTTATTATATTTTACAAAGATCTTCCACTCGGCACAGTTTAAGAAACGAACAAACAGGCTCCGAATTTTCTTAAAAAGAAATTTAGTTATTATAATAAAAATCTTACTAAATATTTACATTGAAAATTTCTTAAATAAATAGTGCAAAATTATTTCAGATACTGTTTAATTTAGAGTCAGCTGTGCAATGAATAGAAGATTTCAAAATCCCATAGTTAATTAACCGCTTTCGTTAAACGATTAAGACAATTCAAGTTTTATAAACACAGGTTTTAAAAATATAATTATCATTCGTTAATCATGGCTAGAGATTCTTAGCAGCTGTTATTCTTCATTCAAATTGGTTTGGATGAAGCATTTCTGTTTTAATCGGATTTAGGCTACAACGTTGCAATGATTGCTTTGCACTTCTACTGGGATTGTGAAAATCTACCAGAAGTTGGTGTTCTCAATCGATTCTCTTTATCTAAAAACAAACAATTTTATCAAAAAATTGCATCGCAAATTATTTCCAAGCAGTTACAATATTTGCAGGTTATGCCTACAGTACGATAATTGAATAGATACTTTCTATCTCAAGATACAATGAATTGACAATTACGTTTCATTTCTAAAATAATTTCGATAAATATCACTGTTACTAAAAATTCAATTGAATTAAAGTCAAGGTTTTATCATTTTGTAAGCTTGCTTGTATGAAAATTGCATTGATTTTGAATTAATCTTGAAAAATCTGTACCTCAATTTTCTATCAAGTCCATGCTCTTTTTTTATAGCAGGAGTTACTTTAGAAACAGGAAGGTGGGTAGTTTCCATGACAACATTAATACAAAACATTATTAAACATTAATCCGCAAACACCAATAAGATGAGTCAACCACAGTTGTTCGCAAATTCTCTGTAATAGTTGTTGACGACACAGATAACTGAAACAGCTTTCATCAAAGACAGTTTGTTTATGCCAATAAAAAGCTATGCTCTATAACAATGTGGAGTTATCTAACATTGTTGTGAATGCACATGCTTCACAAAGACGCAGAGCAGCTCAGTTACACCCCTGCTGTTGGTCGATGTACATACAAAAATTTCGTCTTCTGCTGCCAAGTTATCAGCAGTAAAAAATATTTGCACAGCTATGAAAAAGCGCGATTACCGAAAGTCGATGTATATTTCTCAATTAGTGGTTGATAACAATATTCCATAGGTACATACTAAACCTTATCTGATATTGCGGTAAAAAATCGTTTTAGTTGTTAGCAATTAGACTACTTGAATAGACTCCTTAACAAAACCTACAAAGGTACATGGGTGCAAAGAAGTAGAAAAATGAAGAAAAATAACCTACCTTCAAACTTTTGGCTGTCAAGAAATTTGTTTAGTCGTTTTGCAACTATGGGTCGAACATGTTCAGATATTTTTGCCTGGTGATGTAAAATAGTTGAATTAACAAAGCAATTAAACCAAAGAAACTAAATAAATAACTACAAAATAAATAAAACTGGTTATCATTACAAAAGAGTAAAAATTTTCAGTAGGTAACCGAAGTGCTTGGTGGATATTGTCATTCTTAGGTTAAGAATGGATTAAGCTTTGGGTGCCAACTTAATTATTTTGGGTATCCCGAGGGCCTGTACGACGGGAAGGGTTGTTGAAAAATGAAAGCTAGCTTGGTAGTTTGTATCTGCGTACCAGTTTGTTTCGATCTAGGCAAACTAAAAGCCTTCTGTTCGCGGACTTCTGGTTGCCATTCCCTGCCATAGATAACGTGAAATATTGACATAACTATCTGTAAATGAATGACAAAACTATCTGTAATATGACTTACACTCTCTGACTTGTCTATGTATTCATCAGAATACATAGTTTTCTCATATCTCTGCATTGCAGGAGCTCGTGATGAAATATTAGGGACTATGAAAGAAAAATTAAAGTTAATTAAACGATGGACTGTTAAAAGGGACTTCTTAAACAAAAGTCAGCTTCTTAAACAAAGGTAACTGTTATGTTTTATGTTTAGGTACAGTGTTCCAGATAAGACTAAATGATCAGAAACTTACCAGCTCCTCTTGCTGGCACCTGTCTCCTAGCATTACAACCATACCTTGAAGTATTGTTTTTCAAGCTGCCATGTCGCTGGGGTTGCTGGTAATCAAACCTCTTTGTTGAATCCAATGTGTAAGGTGGCTTGTCTGACTTCATTGTTGGGTAAAAGTTTTTCAGGGATTCTTGCATTTGCTGTGTCCCTATATCATAGAAAATACCACAATAATAGCAAGTTACAAGGACTGATGGTGTTTTCAAAAGAGAAAGGATAGGAAAAAAGTTTCTTACAATTACTGATAAAATGATGAAATTGCTTATTAAACCAACTAAAGAGCCAATTTAAATGAAAACTTGACTGAAAGGGTTATCAATTTCTGATATTAATATACTTTTCAATATACACAAAATTACCAATACTAGCTATCTATAGAAGAAACAAAAGTAAAAATATAATTTGATATTTTGAGAATGATTGTGAATTAACTTGCAAAATTAGAAACACAAAAATCACCAACTGATTAAATATTTGAAAAAAGCAAAACAGCTGCAATATTGCCTAATAAACCTCACATCATTTGCAAGATAAAAGCCTCTTCTATTTAAAATACTTAAAAAATTTGTAAAATGCCTTACCCTGAGTTAACCCAATGTAATCAACTTGATATGTTGATTTCAAAGATTCTCTTGAGACTTGTTCCATCAACTCTTTATTCAAGTCATGAACATTTTCTAAAGGCGGCAGTCGTCCAGGAAACTTCCAGATCATGAAAGCCTTAATGAGAAACGAAATACATTGCAGATTTTCAAGAGTTTGGGAATCAGGGTTCCATACTGGGTACCCTCTTAATATAAATATACATATATTAGTTGGATTGACATAGTTACAAATGAGGAGGTGCTAAAAGGTGCACAGTGTCCCAAACGTCTTCTGGACAGTATCTGAGACTCTCCTACCTGGGGCACATCTTCAGAAGCAACACCTTAATTAGGGAATTCATCATCTGGATGGTCTACAAAAAGTGGTAAAATGGAAGACCAAAGGCGAGATACATAGATAACCTCAAAGACGAGCTTTGTCTTTCATTAGTGTAAACCTTCAGAGAAGCACAGGTTAGCACAAATGGCAAGTCTTGAGAGGATTACCATAATTGATGGTGATATTAACATTAAAAGAACATCGGGATTTGAAATATATGTTAAGCATAGTCAAAATATGTGGTATGCTTAGCCCTAGGGGAGTCGCCAAAAAATATCAAAATGCAAAATCTTTTTGTTGAGCACATAAGAGACCAATAATTTTGACCATTACTACAATAATCAGTAGTTTAAATCCATCTGTTCTTCTGTTCCTTTTTTGACGTTATTATATATGTTAATTAGACCCATAGGCATAGAAAGGTATATTGTTAAATCAGGTACCCAAAAGTATCAGATCACAAAGAAAAGCTCTTACCCATAATTATCGACTGGACCCCCAGTAGATAAAAAGTTCAAGTGACCCCTCTGGGTGCTTAATTCACAAGGATGTATAAACAAAGCTTTACATGCATTGATGGTTCCAAGGACGACTCTAAGTTGCCACTCTGAGATTTATGCTTGAAGTGATCAAGAGGAGATGATTATCGTGCCATCATATGTTTCTGATGACAAATTTTGTTTGCTTCAGGGGTTGCATAATTAGTTTTGAAAGAATTAAGCAAAAGTTTGCCTGTTCCAGCCAATAGGTAAAACGTGGAATCACTCAGGCACTCAAATTTCAGAATTTGGGGTCTGGAGGGATTTCGAAACACAGAGAACAACCACAATACAGAGAACAAGAAAAAATTGACCTTCAATAGAGTAGTGAGTGAGTAGGGTGAAAAAAAGTATGTGTTCTATGGATAAGCATGACCATAAATTGCTACATTGTCAAAAATTAACTGTGAAAAAAGAATAAAAGATTATAGGATGAGATGAGACCTTTATGTTACTGATTTCTAAACGTATTAGTAAGGGTTGAATAACTAAAAGTATGTAATAACACACCTCTAATGGATGTGGTTTATTGCGTCTATGGGCACTATCTGTTACAGATCTTGAAGCAGAATCAATTATAGCTTCCTTTCCACAATATTCATCTTGATATGATGATTTGAGAAATTTTCCTTCTGATGGGTAGAACTTTGATGATTTTGGCCTAAAAGCAAGCACATAAAATTATACAAATGGATTAAAAAAGTTATAACAAGTGAACTGACCAAGCAATAGCAATAGCAACCAAAATATATCTGAGATTTTTTAACTGATGCATGAGCTACTAGCATGTGCACATTCACTATGATATTAAAGATGTATTCACACATAAGCATGTGCGTGCAAAACCCTTCAGGAATGAGTGGCTCTCCCATAGTAAAGGTACCTGGGGATGTACTGAAATTTGAATTTGGTTTGATAGTCAAAATATGAAAATAATTTTGACACCCTCCATTGCAAAGTTGAAAAATGGATGCGGAACAAATAATGAATGAAAAAGCCTTTTATTAATCCAGGCGAGCTTAAGAGAAAATAATGGATTTTTATATAAATCTGGGTTGTGTCAAAGTAAGTAAAATTAAAAAAGGAACAAGTCAAACCTAGCATTGGGTGCAGGTAAACCAGGATATCCTGTAAAATCCCTTTTATTTGATGTTTGGTAAAAATAATCAGGATCCTTCAAAGCATAGCCATGGCTCTTCATGCCTTTGCATTGTTGAGAAGTAGCAGTGAGATCCAAGCCATCTCTTGGGGAGATTTCTAAAATACAAGAAACTCATTGACAATGAAGCTGAATATGATAAATGCATTTTAAGGATATTTTGAAATTAAAAAAAACTATTAAGTGCAATCGGCAAAAGAGAGGGGCTATGCGGGCAAATGGCTTGGCCTTGAGTGATGGCTTCAAAGCATGACCCGATAACTCAGTGGTCGAGCACTTAATATACAAAGTCAGGGGTCATGAGTTCAAGTCTCACTCGGGTCCGTTATTTTGCCACATTCTCTACGAACCATCTTTAGAGATCATGTTGCCTATGTCAAAAACTATTATCCTCCCTTCCTTCCCTCCTCTAACTTGCATGTGTAGACTTCATACATAGCTGCATTTTTACAAAACCAATAGAGGAATTCTGTTAGATAAGAGCTAGAACAATAATTTATGTTCTTGGAACAAATTCCAAATTTTAATTTCATGGGAAGGTCAGCCAGGGGGCATTTGTAGCTCTCATTTTACCTTGCTTCAAGGGCAAACATTAAGTCATCCTTCCATATTTTATGATGGAAGAAACACACCTATTCCAAAACCCCTTCTTAAACAGCCGAAAGGTGTACTGAGTGACATCATAGGCTACATTTTGTGTTCATATCCCTTAACAAATCCAATGTTTACTATGGGGCAGCGGCGGCTTGCAGCAGTACTAGTGGTACCAGTCTAGTACCATTTTATTTTGAAAGCTTTAAATATTTTAGTAGTGTAATGATTTTGCTTTTTTCTATGATAATTGAATTAATGGCAATAAAGGGAAGAGCAGCAGAATACACCATATCTTAAAGGGCATGTGCCGTGAACATGATTGGTTAATGCAACGCAATTATCTCTTATTTTTAGTACAAAGCATGGAATCGAGAGAAGAAATGAAAAGTCACTAAACAATGGAATTCCACTCCAAACGCTTTTGTTTTATTAGCCAACTGCTAATGCAACAGATGCCCTTTAATTCTGACCCTCCTTATCTTAATTCTCATTGAAAGATTGGAATAAGCCCTCTTTATTATGTACACCACAGTACTAGACCTCATTCATCCAGTACTGAAGAAGTCTGTCCCATTGCCATTTGTGACTCAACGTGGCGTAAAACCGTTTGTCTTTCGACAACCAAACAATGAAAAAATCGTTCACAGTTCTAGATTCCTCTTTCTAGTGATAAAACGCTGCAAGGCCATTTAACCCCTGCAGCTGACAATATAATATGACATCAAACAAACTGAGGGCCATATTAGCTATAAAACAAATATTTTCCAGGGACCACGCCCCTGCAACACCCTTCCTCTAGCTGGTTTGCTCTTAATTTTTCTTTGGTTTACTAGTACCATCTTTTTTCGTGCCAGCCGCCACTGCTATGGGTTTCCAGTCAGTTGCTCCCCACTCAGTACTCTGTATAAAAAATGGAGCACAGCTTTGCATCAGCCCGCCAGCTCCTCCTCTGACAACCTTTTGATAGCTTCACGCAATTGAGCATATCTTAATTATCGAATATAAGATTAAACAAATTAATAGAAACCTGCAAATCTTTCTTGTCCGTGCTGAATTGGCCTTTCCATTTTGAGATCTATCTGTTCTTGTTCTAAACGTCTGCTGTCAATTTTCACCTGACCTTGCCAACAACCTTCACTTTCTGAAGCCTATTTGAAAAAACTTTTGGATTAAAACAATACAAAACAATATAATTTTTAATGAATTTTGCCTAAAGAGACTACCATGGCAAAATAATTTGCGATATCTTACACCAAGGTGTGAAGTGGGTTGGTTGTTTGCACATTATTATTCAACATACCTCAAAAGGTTGTTCTCCCCAAGCAAGAGTTGGACCTGCACTTCTACCTCTGCGGTAATAATGGCAAGAATTGGGCCTTCTTATATTAGTCGTCATTATCAAAACTTTTAAAATTTTTGATTAATATAACGTAATTGCTATGGATTGCACACCGTTAGGACCAGAGGAAGGCCATCTGCATACAACAGTTGCCAAGGAAACGCCTCGATCCCAGAGAGATTCTGTCACCGTAAGCATAGCAAAACCTCCTTCATGCAGAAACACACCCTTTTAGTCTATAGTATATTGTGGCTCAAATCTAGTGAATTTTAAGAATAATTTAAAAGTAATGCAAGGCTCGGGCTTCACCAAGAACATAAACGTTGTCTACTTGAGTTTTTTGGAAAGCAAAACAAATGAGAGTTTCACGCTGTGTCTTGAAAAAGATGTATCTGGCCATGGAGTCATTAAAACTATATAATGCAACTCGATGATACCTTATGTCACTTGAAATTAATTTAAGAATAATCTGAGGCTCAAAATAAAAAATTAAGAATATCAAGGCTCAGGAAAAAATTATGCATTCTTATAAATAAGTGTGTAGCTCTATAAAATGGGTTTTTAAAAAAAGACTAGAATTAATTTCTGACGACGAGCAGCTAAATTTACCATTTAAACTCCCAATGCCATCCCACAAGATGTGGGGCAGATTACGTATTAAGGGGGCTAAAAAATTTTGGCAGGCCTAGCATGAAAAACCAAGAGCTAGGTGGTTTTTAATATTCTTTTAAGAAAATTTCGGAAATTGGGGAGCCAACTCCTCTTGCCCTTAGTTTTACACTTAGAGAAACTCTGTCTTTTTCATTTTTAAGTTTTCATTATTCATCAGCTTTGTAACATCTCGCAACTCCCATCGCGATCTTTATCAGCAGGCTTTTATATCGGCCTAACTACACACTGAGTCTGCGTTGGTATTTATAACTACTTTCATGTGATTGCAGTTCCTGCCAAAGCTCTAATACATTTTGTGGCCCCTGTCACAGCTCTTATCACCATTATGAACTACCATTAAAATCACCCTTCAATAGTTCATGTTATTGCATCGTACATTGAAGAATTTGCAAAAAAATGTGCCGTTCAGAATCATCATTATTTTTATTCATCCCACTGTTATTAATTAAGAGGAGGTGCGTGTGTGTATGCCCTAAAAATGTAGATACTTTTTTTAAAAAAAAATTATAGCGATTTTTAAAGCTGGAAATTAGTGAATTTTTACTTCTGCTCTTTATTCATCTGGGTATATCAAGCAAATAAAACTTGGGTGACTTTCACGTAAAAAGTTATAAGTACATTCGTCAAGTGTGTATTGTCGTGATGAATATATTCGTGATGAATAATGGCAGTAGCAAAGAAGATAACTTTCCTTTTCGGTTCTGTCAACTCGTGATGTATCGCTTTATGAATGGTTTGAAAGTAAATTCAAGCTCTCAAGTTATTTACCAGGCAATCGCGAACTTTTGGAGTTATCGAGGCTCTGCAAAGTCTGGGATATTCTTTACACTAGAAATAACGGAAAGTTATCGACCGCGACTTTTTGAATCCAAAGTTTTTAACGTAAACTTCATAGAGAAAGCTATTGAGCACAACATTTTTCATTTTTCTATTCTGGATACTTGATTACACGACAGTTACTCTGTCCTCTGCACTTAGCAGTATTCCTGGCAAACTCAGTTTGAGTCTCCTAAATTTCACCTCTTTCTCGCTTATCGTTTCAGTGGTGTCCTTTCCAATTCTAAGTTTAATTTGAAACTAAAGCTATAGTAATATGACACAGACATAGAAAGTTTGCCAAGTTTTCAGCTGTGTCTACCTTGGATACCGTATATGGCTCATAAATGAAGCTGACAATCATCTAAAGGACTTAAAATAACAGTCACCTATAAAATTGGCGGAAAAGTATGGCACAAAAACTCACCGAAAAAGTTTGTCTTCTCTCGGTTTAGTCGTCTGTGGACTGTCATATGTTAGAGACTACTTATATTGCCAGTAAACAAATCATCGATGTACACCATGGTAACGGCCCATTAATTAAGAATAAAAGTTTTTTGTTGCTAATGCCAAGTCATTACAGGTGCTCAAAATCTATTTCAATTCAACACTACATAAATTATGAATAGCGTTTTAAGAGCCCAAGTCAAAAATTTTCCGATTTGTTAGTCGGATTACTGTATTTTGGTTTGGCTGGTATCCTAGTGCAAAAACAATCACTCTGATTTTTGAGTACAGGAACGTACCACATAGCAAACGTATATCGTAAATCATTATTTGCGACATTCCTCTTTTTCTTCTTGGAAAACTTTAATTGGAATATAATTGTGGACTTGAATATTTGCATACTTGAATAATTCGTTTAGAAAAATCAGTATATGCATTTTATATTTGGTGTTGCCTAGAATCAAAAGGTGATTTTTGGATACTGAGAAGCTATGCCTATCGAGAAGTGTCCTGGCCCTTCTTCTTGATTTGACCAAACCTTGTTTCACGGCAGAGACTCGAGCCTTTGATATGTATTCCGTGAACCTAATTTTCCGAATGTTACATGGTAAATAGTGTAGATCATGGTAAATGGTGTCGCTCAAATGAGTTTTGAAACATTCTTAAAATGTGATGTGATGACTTTCATGGTTCAGCAAAAGCTAAACCTTCCTCTGACTGCCCTTCTCCTCAGCTAAACCTTCCTCAAATTTAATGTTCCCTCGTTCCGCTCACAGATTAGCCTTGCTTCCTGTTCCCCACCCCTATTGAAAAAACGTCTCCCTAGTTCCCTAGAACCCCTATACGCATTAGTAAGGGAAAGAGCCATGGCAGCTTTTGGATGGTTCATTCTTGCTACTTTGTAGAAGCCTCCTAAAGCTGTGTACTATGAATTGCCCTTAAAAAAACACATTGTACAGTTGGTCCTTTTGCATAATGAACCTGAAGCTATTTCAGGAAAACGCGTACACCCACTTGTTCTGTTATTGAGTACAAATCAAAAGCGTTTATGTTTTGTGCAGTTTTCAGTGACTCCGTTCTTTGCAAAACCAACTCTGAAGCAAGAAGCCCAGTAAGAGTGGAGCTAGACAAAGTAACAAAAGATATATAAAAGAACTACTGTTTCGTGCCCCCGAGGTGGCTACTCCCATTATGGCCTAACAGGGGGTCCAGTCAGGGGTCAATGAGGGCCAAAGCTAAAATTTCAAATAATTGCCCTCAAATAGTGATAGGCGCTTTGTATGAGCTGCTGTATGCGTATGATCTCGTTCTGATGTCTGAGACAATGGAAGAGTTGGAAGCACAATTTAACCGTTGGAAGTCAGCTTTTGAAGGGAAAGGATTGAAGGTGAATCTTGGCAAAACAAAGATTCTGGAGCGTTGAGCTGAAAAAGGGGTGGCAGTAGAGGTGAAAATTGATCCATGTGGTGTGTGCGGTAAAAGTGCTAAGGTCAACTGTCTTCTGTGCAAGACTTGTCAGAAATGGATTCATGCACGTTGTGCTAATGTCAAGAGAGTGACTGATTGGATGCAGAGTTTGCAGCAGTGGAGGAAATGAAGAACAGGACCCAGCAGAAGATGGCTTCCTGAGTGAGTTAGCGAAAGTGGATAATTTTTGCTACTTGGTTGACAGTATAAATGGTGATGGGGGGAGTGAACTGGCTGTGACAAGAAGAGTAGGTCTGGGTTGTAAGGCATTTAACACTGTCTTCTATTTTGTGTGGGAACGGTACACTTGGAATCTCAAAAGAAGAATCTACAGGACATTCGTGAAACTTGTCATGACATACGGATCGGAAACATGGGTGGTAAGATCAGTTGAAGAGGATATTTTGAAAAAAGAAGAAAGACGTATGGTTTGAAAGATGTGTGGTGTTAAAATGGCTGATAGAATAAACACAACGGAGCTGATGGAATGATAACACTGAAGGATACCATTGTAGAAACTGTTAGATAAGGAAGTTTGAGATGGTTGGGCCATGTTTTGAGAAAGAGTGATGATGAGTGTGTGAAACAGGCATGGAATTTTGAGGTTGAGGGTGGTAGAGGAAGAGGATGGCCGAAGATGAGCTGGAGAGGAATGATGGAAAAGCAGTGCCGTAAAGTTGGTGTGAACTTTGAGGATGCGAATGACCGAGTGAAGTGGAGAAGTTGCATCAAGTGATGGATGGAAAGTCAGTAACCCTTTGAAAAAGAGAAAAACCCTGACTTAAATAAAATGATGATGATGATAATGTAATCGTAGTGTTTTTTGACAATAACCCTCAAATGGTATCATAAGGACGGAAATTATGTCATTGGCAGCATCCATTTCTTGAATGCTGCGTTGCTGGAGCGTTGCTGGGTCTCGCTCAACTCCTGCATATCTAAACAATGCCATTTATTGCTTATTTTCTCACTGTCGTCTCAAGTATATCCAAATTTATAGACGGTAAGAGTTTGTTTCCTTTATTGGAATCTTCAAATTGAGCTACATGAGAGGTTCGCAGTAAAAATAAGGAACCAACCAAACTTTTCTTTGCCCGCTATCCTCCCCATACTTTTTGGTCGTCGTTGATAATAAAAAGTAGTCTATTAGACTATGATATACAGAATAACATGTTTCTGCTTTCCGAGCAATATTAATTTTTTTTTCAAAATCCATACTGCATCTTCATTTCAATAACATTTTGAATAATATTTTGGTATGTTTAATGCTGAAAGTTTATCGAGAACATAAGCAAAGATGGACAAGCATTTGAGAGAACGCATCTTGTGTAAACAAAGTTAATTTCGTAATCAATTTTCTTGTTTCGCGTATTGTGGTAACTCCTACCTTACAATCTTTAAAAACACCTTTTTCATTTTTTAATATTGTGGGAATATTTTCAATAGAATCATCACTGAATGGAAAGAAATTTCCAAATATTAGCTGACAGGAAATGTTTCCCCTAATTTTTACAAAGAGGCAATTAAGAAATAAAATTCCATTGTGTGTTTTTTACAACATATATGTTCTGTGATTAATTAAAACCTAACTCGTTTACTATGTGCTAATACATTCTGACATATTCACAATCTGCAATATTAACAAATCTGCTTTGAACAATTACAAACATAGGCCATCTGCCTCTCTGTGGTAAGCACTGGTGGCCCCCATGAAAATGATACGAGAACATAGCTGGAAAGGGACATACCTACACGTTTTTCAGGAGAACAAATTGCACCAGGTTCGTTTAAGGCAAGTTGCCGTTTCTCTAGAGGGCAGGTTCATGTGGGTATCAAACTGTTAGATCTAAGTTGTAACCTTTTTACTAGCTTGTGTAAAGAAGATAAAAATACCTATCAACAGAAATATTTCTATTCTTCTTAGCGTGAAATTGGCGCTAACCTCCAACATAAATACTTTCCTGAGTTGTGGGCACACATTTAGAATTTTTTTTCAAGTATAGCGGTAATCTGAATCTGTTGACCAGAGAGATATGAACAGCCTGCAGACTACAATGTTAGTTAATAACATCTTAGACCTTTCTGCATGATCTTATGTTCCAGTATAAATAAATTCATCAAAAAATAAATGGTGCTAATAAATATCACAGCAAGCATTTTTATTAATTGCACAAATTCAACAGCTACTTTCATGATAAGACAAGCAAGAGCTTGAAAAGTAATATGCTACCATTCTTCCCCTCCAGGAAAAATTTGCAATATAGTGAGAAAATCTAGATTAATCTATCAAATATATTACAAAATTGAGAACTATTCTTTACTTTTGTTTTTGTAATTTAGAGGCGTTCATCAACTTTAACATTCAGTAGTATATAATGCAGTTTTCATTGGGAAAAAATATTAACCAGAAGGAAACGCTGATTTTTTGGAATGCTGAGAAAATCAAATTGGATATGAGACTTGTTACATTTGGAGCATTTTGGTTACTTTCATAATCATTATCCACCCCTGCTCCAAGACAAACAATATCCTAAACCCTGGAGTTCTAAATAGGCAACACCTAAGCCTTTGCAGATTCGTTCAATGCAGATTTGTCAATAAAGATTCCCAACAAAATGTAAATAAATAAATTTTGAATATAGGATATTTTTAGTCAGCTGATCCATATAATGTTAGTGATAATTTTTCAATCACACCTGCAACAGGACTGCCTTCCAATGCAGTATGACTATTTAAAGTCCTTCTTTCTCGACTACCAACATACCTCTCTTCATCATCAATATCTTGATTATACCTTCTACCATCATCATCAGCATTGCGCTTAAAGTCACCATTCTCTTCCTCATTTTTGGGTTTTGATGCCATTTCATTACGAAGTTCATCAAAGGCCCTTTTATAAATTTCTGTTTCTGGAACACTGTCAGCTGATTTATCATTCACATCACTTTCGTCATCACTCTCCACTGTGCTTGCTGCTTTTTTCTGTTGTGAATTTTTCATCTCAGTTTTCCTCTTCTTTCTATCCAGCATCTTAACATATATCTCCTCCATATCACGCTGATATCGTTTTGACAAAGATTTTGCAATGACTCTTTCTCTATCAGTGAAAGTCAAGACCCATGTCCCTTTTGGATTTTCACCCCAATTGTAAACAGTCATGAAAGACCAGTTTTTAAGGCCATTTTTGGAGTCATCGTTTTGGCGTCTGTGCAACAGTTTGCTTTTTGTGCCATTTGGAGAGAATAGTGCAATACTTAAATCACCTCTCATTCTGTACCTCAAAGTAACAGTGACCACAACATGTTCCATCTTTGTTACAGCATGCTTACATGTACCATTTTCATCTTTGTCTTTTGCCAAGCAGCTCTGGCAGGCATCTGTTTTTATCTTGATTCTCAAAGCTCCATCACTTGGGATGTCCTTGTTCTTCAACCGGATGGGAAAATGGCAGACATGCTGTGGGCCAACAGATTTCCATTTCAATGCCTTTTCAACAAGTTTCATAGCATTAAGAACACCAAAGCCAAATTTGGCATTGTAATGATGCCCCACACCATTTGACCTCCATCCTGGGTCAAGTGGACTAGTCAAGTCAGCAGTTTCAACAACAAGATGTTGCATATCACGCCAAGATAGCTTTGGGTTGGCTTGCAGCACCAAGGCAAATATTCCAGCAGCCAAGGGTGCAGCTGATGAGGTGCCAACAAAGTGCTTTGTACACTGGTGATGCAGGTATGTTGTTATGACATTTGCTTTACTCTCATTGTCACCATACTTGTGCTGCCCACTGCAGTATGTTACAGCCATTGTGGAAGAACACTGTTCACAGTAATAAGTTGAAACACCATAATCATTGACTGAACCAATAGCAATAGTGTAAATACTATTGACATAGCCATCAGCATTGCAGTCATCTTTTGCCATTCCACCATTGCCAGTTGCCCAAACATATATACTCCCAAGCCCTGTTTAAAAGGAAGGATGATATTGAAATAATATAAAAAGAAAATGGTTTAAAAGATTCACAGATGACCGTAAAATGACTTGCTTTATCATACAACTGTTGTAGACTGACTTGTAGACTGACTTGAGTCCAGTTGTTCTTTATTCTCCTTCAATGTAAGGCATAAATGTCTATTTCTCTAAATCATAAAGTACCAACAGGCATTATGCCCTCTGTTGTGTGGCTAAATCTGGACAGACAGTATCTATTTAGAGTCCTTTGAGCAAAGCGAAATAGCTTACACATAAAAAGATGCTCTTTTATTAGCTTACATTTTATCAACTTTAACAAATAATTGGTTCAAACTTGTATTCATTTCTTAAAGTCTCACATAATAAGCATATATATTTGTTCGGATTGGCTAAGTCTTAGAATAGGCATATCATTATCATAGACCAAAAACGTATTGTATAAATAAATTGCATGATTGATTTGAATGATCGAATGATTGTCAACTTTGACCTTAGTAAAAATTTCTTAAAGAATGTCAATTGGCCTCAAAATCAAAATATCTCAAATATTATATGCTACAGATCTTCATTAAGAACTTTTAAAAAATTGAGAATCTAGCACATATAAATAATGGTTCCCCATTTTGAGGGAGGAAAATGGAAATGAAAAAAAAAAACTGAACATTCCTTCTTTTTTGGTGATAACTTGACAGAATTTCATAAATCAGGAAAAACAGCAAAACTACAGAATTATTAATTTGTTATAACTAACAATGAAAAATTTGCATTTTGGCTTTAAAGTAATGTGAAAAACGAAGCATGCAGCTGCAAAATACTCCCATTCATTCACAACCCTCATTAATTATTCATAATTTTAAAAAAAAATCACAAAAACTACCTGTCTACTAAGATATTTTGTACCTGCCAGCACCTGCATTAAAATCTTTTGTAATAGAAAAATCATTTTTCTCTCAATCTTCTAACATCTCTAGAGAATTATTGTTTTTAACTTGATTTCATGATAGAATTTCATGAATATTTATGACCAAAGATCACCATCAAACAATACACATACACATTGTTTTAAATTATAAAGAGCAAAGTTGTTATCAACCCACAGGGGGAGCACATTAATCTGTCTGAAAGATTAACAGATAGAATAGGAAACAGCAATAAAAATAAACAAGATAATACAATTTTTAAGTATCTGATGGAGAACCACGCTGCATTAAAAAAGAAACAGAGAAATTTTTTAGACATCTTGGTAAATTTTTGCTTCCTAGAGGTAGAAATGTAACTATTACAACAAACCAAGCCTTAAGTTCTTGGATCACCACAGTTTAAATGTGTAATGTTTTGTCAAACTGCTACAGAGAGGCACCAGGACAATAAACAGGATTTATTTTCACCCAAAAATCAACTGTTTGTGACTGGAATCTAGGACATTATCTTTATTAGCACAAATGAATATGTAGGCTTGTTGGCTGCTTAGGATAATTAAAAATATATGGAGTTTTCTAATTTTTGTGCTGATTAAAATCTATTTGATTAAAAAACAAACAGTGATAAAATCAAGTTTGTTTTTGAAGGTGGCAGCATTCAGATTTAAATCTTTGGAAGTATGGTGTTCAAACATTACATTTTCCCATGAGATGCTGTTCATTCAAATATTGATTCCAATTCCATAAAATTGTGTTTCAATAATAATAATTGAAAATACTGTCTCAAAATCCTGGTTCTTATGTTCTGTTCAATAAGAACATTTTTAAAGAATTTTGTTCGCTAATAATGAACTGGCACAATTCTCCAAATGAACTCTTGGAAAAACCCTTGCCATAGCATTCGAACAATGTAAAATGTTCTACAAGATATCAGATAGTAATTTCGTGATTTAAGGTCAGTGGAAAAACCTTTAAAGAATAGGTTTGTATGAATGAAATGATCAACATTTACCATTTCTCCCAAGTGTTGCTCCAGCCTCTAAAGCCATGCGTCCTAGTTTACCAGGTCTGCCGAAAGTTTTCCCGTTGTCTTTTGGTCCCCAAGAGCAACTGTATATATCTATGTGATGTGGGTTGAAGGACAAGGCATCGGCCTCAAGACTGTCAGTGGCCTTTCCATCTAGCATCCTTATGGCACCAACTTTCGAATCATAAGCAATGCCTACACCACAAATGCCGTTGTTAGCTTTCGCAGCGATTGTACCAGAACACTTAGTACCATGGGCATTATAAGGATCTGAATCATTTGGAAAAGGATCAGAATCATGCCCGTTGAGATCCGTACTCGCCTTCGGGTCGTAATTGTCTTTCAGTTCTGGGTGAGTGTGGTCCATACCATCATCAAGAACACTAAGAACAACCCCCTTTCCCGTATAGCCTTTCTTCCATACATCAAAAACCTTGCTATCGAATTTTGCAGGACCTGATGTCTGGCCATTGTTGAGAATATACCATTCCTCGGACAGCAATGGATCATTGAAATTAAGTTCCTCGTCTGACTTTGGCCTAGGCCTTCCTTCCCTCTTCTCTCTCGATAGAAGACGTTCTCGCTTTGCCCATTTGACTTGCGGGTGAGAACGTAAAAGATTAGCATGCTCAACATGATCTCGTTTCGTTCTAACGTGTATCTTGCTGGTGCTCGTACTGTGAATAGAGGGAACATCATGTTCAGCACGATCATCTTCGGTTTCGTGTACTTCCTTCTTATCTTCGTGGTGATCGTGAAAATAAAATTTATAAACTCCGTCTATATGTGGTACTTGTCCTCTATTTTCAAAACCATATTTGTTAGCAATATCATTAGCAATTTCAGCATCTGCTGCATCCAAACCTACAATCCAAGTGTTATCATATGTAGTTTCGCTCTCTTCGTCATCGTATTCTTCGTCTTTTGGATCATGCAGCAACGATCGATATTTGTCTAGTTCTTCTTCAGAATACTGCCTTTTCTCGATAGCGGCTGACGAAATGTGGCTTAAATAAGTAAAAATAAATACAACTAAGCAATACCCTAAAATACCCCGTCCCATTTTCAGAAAGGAACAAGGATACCTTCACTATCTTTATCAGTACCAGCCTATCCTTTGCGACATCTTCCTCTCATTTATTTATGCAAATTTCTTCACTTCAAATATTTCGCCCACTCAAAACTGAACAATCGTCGTCACATGGAAGAATAATCAAGTCACGTGATGTGCCCCGAACATCAAAACAGCTGCAGCAGCAACTTCATGTAACAGTCACAATTCAATAATGGGATACAAAGAAGTATTATTAGGTTCAATTTCACAGAGAAAAATAAGCATTTCAGAGCAAAAAGTGAAAGTAACATCTAGATGCTCTTAAATGGTGAAAAATTTAATGAACGAAATAATGAAATTTACAAGGGCTCACACGCAGGGTGGGCGTATTCGAAGTCTCAATTGGCAACGAAATCGGTGAGCCAACCCTTCTTTGCCAAAGGATTCGAGACTTTGCCGACGAAGCTCCCACCTTTTACAAACAAATAGGCTGGATATTTTAGAAATGTAGAGCAACTGCTTTACACTTTTCAAATTACAATAATGAGAAAAAAACCTCAAATACACCCATTTATGTTGAATACATATAAGTTTTCAATAGCTCTTGTTTAAACCGACCATGAACCATTAACTGTTCAAAAAATTGCAAATTTATCAGTAAGGTCCCATCTTTATCTTTTTGTTGAACTAGGCTCTGAGGAAAAATCGGCTCAAGAAAGTCTCTACAAATGCATCCGACACCCTATATCATTTTTTCAAGCAAAATAAAATGCAAACATTTCATGACAATAAATTTCCCATGAATTACTAATGAAGAAGCCTTTCGTATCTTTGAACTGAATGGTGTTCTACAAGGCTCCTCGATGCATTACGACCATTGCACAAAACATGATTCATACTGTTTGATGTGAGATAGCTACCAATCAGTTTTCTCTACAAACATTTTAAAGCACTTTGGTGCAATAGAACAGTTCTTTAGTCTGAAAAGTCAGGTCGTGAAACTTGTATTAACGTTTATATCGTCGAATCTAATTAATCCCACCAAAAGGCAGGCGACTGCAAGTTAGACCATCCAAATCAGGTTACGAGGATAAAAGGATTAACTTTCTTCAGAAATATAACATCATTTCTAAATCATTCATATGTTTATATTGAATTTGTCAATACTTTTTTAATAGCAAAGTGTCTTAGTCGCATCTCTACCGCAAAGCTTCTGGCGTTTCCAAATACCAGTGAGATAAACGTTTTGCTTTTTTACAGTAAATGTGATCAGTTGTAATGCACATATGTAATGCACACAGTTTTAAAGAGTTTCAGAATGTACTTGCCCTTATGAAGTTATTGCGAAGAAACTAAGGAGCGAGATGTGTGTAATTTGAACCCAGGAACTGATCAAATCAGATCAGGTATTCGCTGCGGACATTAGAGGCATCAATATTTTATTTTCAGAGATTAACAGCTTTGGTAGTTGACACAAACACAAAAAGAGATATAATTTCATAAAATTTGAATTTCGTGCTATTTAAAAACTTGATACATTTAACATTAACCCCCCTTGAAATTGCATTGCTAACGAAGTAGTAAAGCATAATTTTGAAACCGACAGCAATCGCAGTTTGCTACTCCTAGTTGAAACTTTTAGGCAATTATTCTATCATTTTAGGCAATAATGGTCCAACTCACTTTTAACGGCATCATATTAAGCTTTGGGTACAAATTCAAGCTTTAAAACCAAAAGAATGAAAAAATTAAACACTCAATGAATCACGACAATATGCAAGATTTGATTGAGGATAAAAAATTAATGTAAAACAGCTAAAACCATAAAAACAGTAAATTTTTATTTACAACATACACGATTAAATACTGTTCTTTTTTCTACCAGTTATAAATTATATAATTAAAGAGTCTTTTACAACACGTTATCAGTGTGCCATCGTCTTACAGGACAAAGAATGACAGTCCCTTGGTCTTGAATGTCCAGAACAAAAAACCTGTTTACCATGCTACCAGAAGTTGTCTCTTCTTTTTCTCGATCTTTGAAGGACATCAGATATGACAGATTCTCTAGCAGACATCGAAGTGTCCGATAAAATGTCCGATTGAACTGTGTTGTCCAAATCTTGCCCAATTTCAGAGGGCTGAACAAATGCTCTCGGAGGCTTTCGACTGTATTTGATCTCCGGGCGCTTATCTTTTTGTTTATAGTCTTTCGGCTCATAACGTAAATGATTAACAGCTCCATCTCGTTCTTCTAGATCAGTCACCATCAAGTCACCCTCGTTGGCCTTGTCTTCGTATTTATCACGCCTGTACGTCTTATGATAATGAGCTGTCTTCGGTCGAGTTTCCCGTATAATCTCGGGTTCACCTGGAGGTCCGTATTTGGCAACATTTCCTACCATTGTTTTCCTTGCAGCTCCTTCTGCCCACTTCTTTGGTCTGACATAGCCTATATCTGGTTCCAAAGTTCGAAACTCGTGCACTGGAGCTGTAACCTCACTTGAAAGCTTCTGACCAGGGAATGCAACATTACCGCCTCGTAGTGGTGTTGTCCGGTCCAAATTATGGCGCCTAGGGTCCATTCTGCTTTTTAAACGTGGAGTTTCTATCCTTCCTTTGAGTAGGCTCATAACTGAATCACTTTCACTTGAGGATGACGATAAGACAGGACTTGCAAGAGGCTCTACGTCGGCTTCTACCAAACCCTCTTTATCACAAGAAGATATTGCCTCAGCCTCTTCATCTTCATAGTTATCACTTACTTTCTCATCTCTGACATAAGTTTTCATCACCTTCCCAGTGGCGGCCACAGTGCTCTGTTTACTAGAACCGTTTGCTCTTGCTGACTTCCCATGCTTTCTGGAGTCTGAAATATTCGTTTTCGATCTAGGCCCTCCAGCTTGAGAAGCTAGCACATTCGTTGCAGTATTGCTTGTTTCAGCAGGTTCATCTTTCTCCTCTGCTTCTTCACTACTTTGTGCAACATAATCTTCATAATCTTCAGTCTTCTTAACTTTGCCCCCTCCAATTGCTTCTAAGTTGAAGTTTGCTTTCTCCGAACCTTTAACGCCTTCTTCGGAAGCAGTTTCATCTTCATCGTCGTCATACAAAGATGCAAGAAACACTGTCGGGTAGTGAGTTTCTCGTGTCCTCACTTTGTAACTCTGGGCTCTCTCCCTGAGACGTAGTACCTTAAAGAAAATTCAAAATGGCGTTAAGAATACGAGCCTGACTGTCGACATCATATCAAGACCTATTTCTCGCAGAGTTCAATCAATCTTCAGCAAACTTCAGTTACAAAAATAAATCTAATTTTTATTGGAACAGTATCTTCACATGTAGATATGGGTGAAATTAAACTAAGAAAGGCAATTACTAACAGAAATTAAACCATAAATGGAAAATTCGCTCAAAAAAGCATTTGCGGAGCAGATGTTTCCAAAGCAAGAAAAGTCGATTTCAAACACGCTCTTCACACGTGTTTTGTCAAAAAACTAGAATTTTGCGCAAGAAATGAACAAAGCTCAAGCGTTTCAACCTACGAATTTGGTAAAAGGGAATTTTTAATCCGTATCCTTTACATAATTTAATGAAAGTATGTAACCGATACCTGCAGTTCTCAATTTTTGAATCACATTATCATAGAAGGACTCAGAACTTTCAAATACGAATAAATGGTATTGAGATTTTGCACCCTCCTCTACCCTCCAGTTCAATGTTGATATCACTGCTACAAACTTCCTAACCTTGAAATCAAGGGGGGGGGTATGTGTTTATATACATGTATTCTATCGGGCACGTGGTTTTGGGGTTTGTCTCAACAGTTCTATTCAAGACATGTAGGTTAACATGGCAAAATTCTGTCTTGAAAGTAGACCCTGAATTTTATTCTAACATGTCAAATTGCTTTAACATGTAAACGAGAACCAAAGTTTCGACACAATTTAAACTTCAACTCGGGGTAATGACTTTGTTAAGGATTCTCATTCTAAGGACCTCTAATGAAATCCCAATCCAGATTTCACGCCAGAATACAGTTGAATCCAGCTAAGTCGTACCCCAGATAGCTCGGAATATCAAACTGTGAAGTAATTGATGTATATTTTGAGATTCACTATGAATTATTGAGGACAATTAAAAATTTTGGCAAAGCAAAATTACAATGAAATAAAATTTCTACTTGAAACTTAAAATTGCAAAAATTAGTGGTTTTGAATATCCTCTGGTGATCAGAGTAAATCTGAATGCAGATAGAACATCAAACAATGGAAACCGAGACAAACACACGTGGCAGTTCCCATCGATGTTTAAAGGCCAAACACAAAGCTACACTTTTGGTTACCAAGCAACTTACAAATAGTATTAGTATATATTTGCATTTATTGTTTAAAATATTAATTAGGAGGCTACATTGGAGATCCAAGCATAATATAGCCTTAAAAGAGAACTTTTAAAAGATGCGATGATTTTAAAAATAAATTTACTTAAAGCAACAGAGCCGTAAGGATGAAAATCAACATTGCAGCCAGAGGAATCGAGAATACAACAGACATGACGACTGATTGAAAGACTTAATCTCCCCATACGACAGGACAAATGTTTTTGTCAAGAGTTTAGAAATTGACTTTGCTGTCAAGAAAAGAAACAATAAAAACTAGCGGCATTGCTAAGAGCTGCTGTAGCAAGTCTGCTGATGTGCTTTACTGGATCTCCTTCAAGTCCACACGCCTTAACCATGGTTGAAATTTAAAGAAGAATCAAAGAGTTTTCCTAAAGCATTTTTGACGTTTCAAATTTTTGTTTACATAAAAGTATAAAAAAGATTGCATATAACCGATCACTTCAAAAGGCGAACAGTCATATTTTGCTCCATCGAAACCCCTTAAGGATTTTCCTTCAGGTCCACACGCCTTAAACATGGTTGAAATTTAAAGAAGAATCAAAGAGTTTTCCTAAAGCATTTTTGACGTTTCAAATTTTTGTTTACATCAAAATATAAAAAAGATTGCATATAACCGATCACTTCCAAAGGCGAACAGTCATATTTTGCTAGATCGAAACCCCTTTAAGGACTCTACATAATACTTTGTCGCCATTAAAGCTGTTCTTCCACAATATTTCAATCAAACAGTCAAGAAAATTGAACTACAAAACAAGATTAGGTTCCCTTTGAAGAAGAAAAAACCAAAATATAAAGCAAATTTTCAGTACGGGTGACGCCACAGTGACCTGCAGTTTGTTGTAAGAATGAATGGGCATTGGTCAGGAGGAAGAGGAAAAATTCCCAAAAAAGATATTGGTTATATTTAATTTCGCGTGGGTGGCGAGCGGCGGCATGAGCTTCAAGAAAGTTCATGAGAATGTAACACCTAATGAAGCTCTTCAACAGGAGGCAAGAAAATTATTTAAGCCACTATCGAAAATCTGAGGTTATGCTTTGGGAAAGGAAGGACTTCATAAATCACAGATAACTATTCTTAAGGTAGCATTCTTCCAGATAACCGTATCAAAGGTGAACCGAAGACGTTACATTACACTGCAGTTTTACAATTTAGTTTGAATGTTCTGTAGCAAAACCTGTCTTGTATAAGCAACCATTGCAGCACAATGTCATGCGCAACAAAAAGCATAACCGCCGATACTTGGCTATAGAAAAAGTTGCACGATAGCCTATAAAGATATATGGAGATAAATTCATTATCACAAATCTCAATAGTACAGAAATTTGTTGCTGCTGTTTGCAGCCAGGCCCATATTTATTCATATTGAAATCTGAATCGGATATTGTTGTACATTTCAGCAACTTTTTAAAAAAGCACTAAGAATATCAGACTTGAGGTTCAGAAATGTCCAAACTGAGTTGAGGCCATCATATTATTCCCCAACTCGTAATTTGTATACTAGTTTAGCATTTCTTGTGAGTTACACTAAACAAAAGCAAGGTAGGTGGTCTTAGGTCATACAGAAAAGAGGTTGATAGGGGTGAAAACCATGAAACCTCAATACGGTACAAATTGAGAAGACTTACTTCTTTGAACCAATCAAGGCTTTCAGATGTTTCGACCTGAAAAACAAAATATATGTTTGATAGTTTCATATTAGGCATCGAGAAAACGAAAGTATGTCATACTAACAAATGTCCTATTAAAAGAGTTGATTTCAGAATTGGCTTGGATCCTCTAAAAGAGAACCACATTATGACGTAATAAGTATATGCGACATTGGTTTTGCTTAGATTTCGAGTTATCAAACCACTCGTATAAGCAGACGCTGTGTTTATATCATAACTTTAAAAAAGATCGTTAGGTATGTAAGCCTTTCACAAGTTTCATTTGTTTATACGAGTATAAACAATAATTCTGTTGATTCTATTGTTAAAATTTCGCTCATCAAGAAGAAATCTCCCTGAAAAAAGGCTACACCAGACGCCCTAACTATATGCAAGAGGCGTTTAATTGACGGCAGCTGGAATTTCGCTTGGTACGGAAATAGAAAAATAAATTGGTCTACACAGCTACAAAAGAAAATCGTCTGTTCTTATCGATTGACAGATAAACTTAAGCATAATACCATTGTTTTTCACTGCATTCCTAAGCCACTTATACAACCAAAGCATGGCAAGATTCTCTACAAAATCATTTTTGTAGCTGTAATGTTATTTGCAACATCACAAAACAAGTCGAAAAAATTCAATTACGAACAACGTCTAAATGCGAATACTGCAAAAAAAATTTTATAACTGAATATGAGATTTATAATGATTTCAAAAGGCTAATTTTGGCATCAACAATAACCTTTATGTAACATAATAAAGACAGATTATGCAAGATCAAACATTTTCTTGCATAAAGGATTGAAAAATTGGAAAAAAATATTTCCGACATCGCTAAGCTGTGAACATACAATTAAAATTTCGAAAATACTATTGTCATTCTGCTTGTATAGTAACGTCTGTTCCATTAGAAAAGCTAAGTACAAACCGTTTCTTGTTTGCTTTGCTCGTCTTCTTGGGCTTTAGAACGAGATACTTTACCGGGGCTAAACTTTGAGGGAGCGACAAAGTTGGCATTGTATTCTGTAACCAATTTGCTTTGAAAAAAAGAAACTTTTAAGAATAAGAAAGAAAAATAAGACGTATGTGGGTTAAATGAATACTTGAGCAAAATCACATTAAGTCGTACAAATCTAGTACAGTAAGGCTCTGCAAATAAGAAACCACTTTTAAGAAACTTTAAGGCTTAAATGTTTTCTGAAAGGCTCTGTTTTATAAGAAACTTATAAGGCTAAAGAGTGATACAATGTTTCTTATACGTGGTCCAAGTTGCCTTGTTCTTAACAAGACATTTAGAAATACACTTATCCTAGATCCCAGACATAACAGCACTCGTTTTCAAATTGAAAACCTATGAATGGGTTACAAAGCAAGATGTATGGCAAATCATACAGTACAGTATTCTTAGGAAAACATGGTAATGGGCCTCAGGAAATTTTATAATCGTTCAGCTTAAAAATAATAAAAAACAAAGATTTAAGAAACTTCTTAGGCTAAATAGAAAAAGAGTTTCTTATTTGCGAGGCCTTACTGTAAACAGTGCAAACAGGATTTCTTGTAAATTAAAAATTATAATAAAATAAACCACAAAGAAACAAGGCTTTCGAATATTGCAGTAATCATTTAGTTTGTTAGCCTGATGCAGACATTACTTTGGGGTTTAAACGTAGCTGACTTGAGACTACGGAGAAGAGTGAGACACTCGATCCTTGGTGCTGGCATGCAGCTACGTTGTTCATTAACCTGCATGATATAGTTGCAGGGACTGCAACTAAGGCAGAGAATCTCGAAATAACGATGCAATCTGCTATTATCAAAACATGAATAAACAATTATTTGTGTTGTAGCCAGTCACAAAAAGCAGCCAAAAACTGATCACATTTCGAACTTATAGATGACTCTTTTGAATGTCAACAGAAAAGACACAAACGAAATAGCCTATATTACAAGTTTCTCATCTATTTCGAGGTGTTTTGAAGATTCTGGGAAAAAATTGTATAACAAAGTGATTACATGAAGACTTATACCACGAGTTAAGAGAAAAAAGAACATTTGTGTACCAAAAGCCCAGGTACATTTTTAACATGCAACGTTAAGTCTAGTATTGCTTATCTTCAAGAGGTCTATTTGTAGAATAATCTAATCCTACGTAAAGACATTTGCCTTTTATGATTGAAAAATTCATTGAGATGATAATACTCTTATAACATGCGGAAATCAAACATAAAAGAATGATGTCAGAGAAATAACAAAGGCCTTATCTTAGCGTATGTTTTTACCTTTTTTAAATTTTAAAGGAAAACAAAGTTATATCAGGCAGAGTCTTTATTTTCAAGGAGATTATATAGACTCTACTTCATATGATTCGAGATAAAAATATAATATAGGCAAAACACTTTATCGGTGTTCAAGCTTAAATCATTATAAAGCTCCAAACTAGCTAAATTTAATAAATGAGACATTTCACATGATATTAAAGATTAGACATGATAAAATAGCATTTTAGGTGTGTCAAAAGACAATGAGAAACTAGAAGTGGAAAATCTGACAAACCTTTTGCCGTATGGGACAAAGAGAGGCTGAACATTTTTGGATTGGTGAAGAAGTCTTCTGTCGACAACAGGTTTACCTGCAAGATATTTCACGCAGAATAGATGTTGTCTTACACCAATCAATAACGAATAAATACTATTATGAAAAACATTTTGGAAATTATTCAGAGTTCCGAATAAATGATACGTTGTTTAAGTAAATAACTGGATACGTATTGTATAGTTGCGGCACGCTCAGGCTTCAACTTTAAGTTAGGAAGAGAAGGGTATATATAGGAAGGCAGGAAAAAAAGAAGTGACCTGCTAACTCCAAGTTGGAGTAGGAAAGGAGATCACAAGTGCAAAAGAAATGTTTCATTTGATGCCGTGTCATGGAAATGTGGAGACATTGCATCGCTGACTTGCACCTTGTATAAACGTGAAAGGAAGGTTACAATTGATGGTGCAATTTTTGGCAAGCATTCTTTAGGAAATTTCCCCGGAAGGAGCAACATTTTGAAAGGACCCTGATTTCAGAAAAAATTACAAAGAAATTACCCCCCCCCCCAGCATCAAACAAAATGAGGTTTACTAAAAAAGTTATATATATACACCTTTACAAAAAATTTTATTTTGGGCATTTCTTAATAAGAAATTTCCTGCTCCTCTTACAATATCGAGAGGACAGGATAGGCCTTAAGCTAAAGAGGCATTTTCTCTTCAATGCGGGGCAAGATTCTCCGTAGTTAGAACGTAAAAAATGCTTTGATTTTTATCAACAGACAAAAAGGCATACTTGGAATCATAATGTAAATAGATAAACCTGTTCTCATACTAGCTTAAAATTATACCTGTGAAGGAAAGGGTTTTTATGGAACAAATGAATAGATGGGGAAGTTCTTTTGTTCCTTACGACTAATCATAAAATTTCACTATACCAAAGTGCATAATTTCATGATCAAAAACAGGCCTTTTCTTTTTGCGTTAAGCAAGGCCATGTGGCTAGATAGCTGTAATGAGATTTTCCTTATGTCCTACAGCTTTCATTTTGTAATAGTCATAGTTATCAACTAAATACGTTAATGTCTATTTCGTGTTGTTTAATTATCTTATATATAGCAGTAGCTTCTTATCTTTCGATACTTCAATAATATGTAACTAATTGCTGCTAAATGAAATGTTTGAAGTTGAATTTGATACCGTTTTCGAAAGATTTTTCTCGGAAATTATGCCTGGTCATAGGCCAGCATAAGAAAATAAATTTAAATAGCACCGTACCCCCTTTGCCTTCCTTGTGATCGCCAGCATTATCGGCAGGTGCCTTTTTATCTCCTGCAATACTAAAATCTGGACTTTGTTTTACCAACGGGTACTCTCTGAATTGCAACTGATATTCCGATTTGAAAGGCTTGAATTTCCTTTTTGTGAGATCATCACTAGCTAATTCAGCATTTTCAACTTCTACGGGAACAGAGACCTTAGGATATATTTCATGTCTGACCGGCTCTTTCCACGCAAATTGTAGCTGATATTCTGTCTTTATGGGGTGACTGTGTAACGGAGGCTCAATGGTTTGCATTCCAGCTTTTATCTTTAGTGCTCTGTCCACCTATAAAGAAAACATCTTCGTATCAACAAAAATTTAGAAGCACGAAACGATTATGAAGAGCACAAAAATTAATTAGACATTGTTTCACTATTATGTTTGAGATCGTCATCTTCCATTACAAGAAAAGAAACAAGATTAAATTTTCCAAAAACATGAAAAAATACCACAGCTAACACACCAATATTTTGCCTGGTTTTTATTGTTTTTCTTTCGAAGTTTCTGAAGTTTTTGGCTTTTTGGATGAGAACTTATAAGCAGTGGCGGACACTTGGGAGGCGAGGGGGGCGACCGCCCCCCCCCAATACTTTAGAGAACAATGGTATTTTGTTCTAAACCAATGGGAAATGTGACGTCATCTTATTAAAAACAATAGGCTTGCCCCCCCCCAATATTTGATCAAGTGTCCGCCCCTGCTTATAAGCAATTTTTTGATTTGATGAGCACCTTCACAAACCTTGAAGTCATTAATCAATAAGTATGTTTAAGAAACTAGGAAATAACTTTAAGATTAAACTTCATAAAATCGCAAACCCGCTCATTTTGCTTGTTTTTCACATCGTCCAAATCTTTCTTCCTTTGTTCTTTTGCAGGGCTTTTTCGGCGTCTTTTCTCTCTCTTGGAATCATCAGCATGTTCTTTTAGAGGGCTGCTCTCTTTCTTACTGGTGTCTTCTCTCAACCGCCAGTCTGCAGTTTTGATAGGAAAAAGGCTTTCAACTGGAACATCTCTCTTTGCTGGTTGTTCAAACTCCAATTTTCTTTTGGCAGTTTCTGAAACATTTTGGTTAACAGCTGTCACTTCAGCCAGGCCATTACCCTCGCTTTCTTTTGAGTTGCCGTTCATAGGTGGAATGGTGTCTGTTCTTAGAATATTATGGTTGAAGTTGAATGGCGATCTTTTTTTACGCTGCATCGGCGGTTCCAGGGCACTGTAGCCTTGGTTATAAGATTCTCTTCCAGCAAATTTGTCATCCTTAAAAGAAGAATTGAAACGTTTTCTAAACTGAGTATTGCAAATTAAAATCATTACTAGACTTCTAACAGCAAAAGATAAAAATAATTAAATATTTGATGACTTTTAGCTAAAACTATTCCAGAAAGATACATTATACTTGCTACAAATTTGAACACCATAAAATTAAGGATGCCTGAGTGCTATTACTTTCTCTTTGTGATTCATTCCAAATAAGTTTTTGCAATGTAATCAAAATCAAGATGCTTAAACTCTAAAATAATCTGATACAGCACAATACAGCAGGAACTAGCTTTGATGCTTCTTAATCTTAATCTTTGATTCAAAACATTGAGAAGCGTATAAGTCTCAAACTGAAATTAATGTTTTAAAACTCACAAAAAGAAATTCGTAAAAGGAAAACAAATGGCCATAGGAAAAAAGAAACCCTTTAAACTACAAAAAATTGTCATCTACATTACTGTTGGACTTGACCAAGTACACTGGGGTCAGAAATAAACAAGAGGGTTTAAATAAATGGAGAGGTCATGGTCAAGTCAAAAATTTAATAAATTCAGAGAGGTTATAGACCCGGGGAGTCTACCTCTTATGAAGTCAAAATAAGGAACTGAGGGTCCTCAGATTTTTAAAAAAATTAAAGGGGTTGAACAATTATTCTTGACGTTTTGAGTATAGAGGAACTGACCACTGAATTTGTATATTATTATTTTTGAAGTTAAATCAGTGTACAGAATATATTAGTGTAGAGATTGACAGAATATAATTATCCTATAAATGAACATGGATACAACATCAAACAGTGTCAATTTTAACACTTGAAGATAAACTGATAGAATTGGCAAGGTACCTTGAACTGTTCATTTGCATCAACTTTTGCTGTTTGCCTTTTAGCTGCATAGTCCAAAATAGGATTTCCTTCACTGAAAGCTTTAGGGTTTTGTATTTCCTTGTAATTCTCCTTTGGTGCAGGGATAATTTTATCTGCATTCTTTGTTAGAGCAGCAGCTTTTTTGTGCTGTAAGGGAGGTTCCCTTGTGATGTGCACATCTAACGACTTGATGCCTGCTTCCTTTCCTGATTTCTTTTTCAAAATGGGCACTGGTGCAATGATTGGACCATCTGATGCCCTTGGCTTCAAGACTGGACTCCTGACAACTTTTGAAACATCATTGTCAAATCCTTTGAAAGATGAGTTATACTCTGTCTCAAACTAAAAAGCAATTATAAATTTTCATCATAAATTGATATATTATTAGCCTGCTTTTGATTCAATCTATAGAAATTCAACTTCTTCATTTTGGCTGAGAAGAAGCTCAACCTGGACTCCTAAAATATCATGCCAGCCCACAAAGGAAACTACACATCTAGACCAAAAGTATCAATGCGTCAGTTGTTGAAATGTCTGGCTCCGACACATATCCTTGGCAATATTCCCTTGCAGCTATTGAATACTGTAATGTATTGAAGTGACTGGTAATTTACAAAATCCATTTCTGCCATATAAATGCCACCATAAATAAAATCAACACTTCAAACAGCTTAAATTCTTGCCCATGTGAACCAAGCTGTGAGATCCTGGCTGTAACATATTAGTGGCCATCTAAAGCCAAGCTATACAAGTTTCCCAGCTTGGCAGAAAATGGTCAGTAAAAGCTGACACTATTCATGTCTTGTTGTTGGATCTCATATTTTCAAATTTCTCATTCTCAATTTATAATTGATAATTAGGTTAGTTGGGCTAATATTTGGCAATGAGTGCATCACTGATTATCCTTACACAACTCACAAGCTATTTCAACATACTAGCTGTCTCCCTGAGGAGTCGCAGTCTCCTTTGTAGAGTAGAATAACTGAACAGACTGCTCTTTGCTTTTTCTCTTCAAAAAGCAATAAACATAAGCATAAAGTTTGATTTATAACCTCAAGATAGAAGTAATAGATGTAAATCCGTGCATAACTCTTTGTTTACGGTCGTCATCTTGGTATCCAAAGGAGAAAGAGAGCTAGGCCTAAATGAATAAAATGTAACTAGCAAGAAAACCCATAAATATTTTCTAAATAAATGTAAATTAATTTTTGGCAGTGCAAATACTTACCCTCACCTTGCTAGGCATTATTATGGAAATGGTCTTTAGGAAATCATTATAATTCAGGCTGGAGTGCAGGGTCGATAGAACGGTTCCGCCATTTTTGTATTCAAACTTTGCGTCCAAACGAAAACACAGTGACGGTTGAAGCGAGAATGAGACTAACCAATCAGCGAATAGCATCTACAACCGGGACAATAAACAATCAAAACGAGCCCGAAACAAAATCGACCAGGTTAATTTTGAGGTAGATGCCACCTGAAAGCGCACAAATTGACGTGGTTATTTTCAAGTACCAACATATGTAAAGGTTCAGAAAAGTGACGGTGAACGGTAATCTGCTGGGATCTAAGGGTTGAAAACTGGGGTGAAACAGTTGGCAGTGAGACGTTAAGCCTCTGCGGAGGAGAATTTCTTCTCACAAGCTTGCTTTGTCTCTAACAACACTATTGTTCCACAACCCGCGACCCGCCCCGCGTTATGACTGACTCTAGGATCTGCAAATGCAGATAGCTAGGTGCTTTAATGCAGACAAATTGAGAAATAGATTGGTAATTATGACATCAAGAAAGATATTTGCATAGAAAAGAAAGAATTAAAAGCAGTCGAAAAATTAAATATCAACTGAACAAATTAATAAGTTAAACACCAGTAATTTCTACAGATTTCTACCCAAAAGCCAAGCAAACTTTGAAGGTAGGTTTCAAAAATAAACAGGAGTCTGAATCTCGCATAATGATGTTATATGAACAATTTAACTTCTTTTATCTACCAAAACTCGCTATTTAATGTTGATGTTTTCCTTTGCAATCAGTTCAACAGATGTTGTTTGCCCAAGTGGCAATGAGCTCATTTTCTCATAAATATTGAAATAAACTGTCTCGTAATAGGAACTAAAAACCAGTGAAATATTGTCTCAGTTTTATAAGTCATTTAGTCATGTTGACTACACTAAAATTCTGCTTGTTTCTAACAAAACTTTTTGCTCTTTTTCAAGCATCTTGCTCTGAGGTGATAACAAAGGGAACATTTTTCATCAGAGACACGGAAAGCTACCAAACCAAATCGAGGGTGATGCCTTCTGCGCCTAGGCACAAGCCAGTGGTTCAAAGCAGTGCTGTTTATCACATTTGCAGTTTTCGTGAAGATTGTTTTGCTGTGAATCGGACAAGAATAGCAAAAAGCAGGTTTTGCCCAAATGTAATTGTGAGGTGGAAAAAGATGTTAAAGGAGACAAGTCTAAAAAGTATGTCGTGTTTATAAATATAGTAAAACTGGCAGGGACGTATGAGGTGCTGGAAAAGTGGAGGAACAATCCATTTAAGAAAATCTCATAAGGCCCATTGTTAACGACCCACTTGACATCTCCAACTTTTCTTCTTTTTCAACAGATTATCATGAGTTGATCAGATATACCAAGTAAAAACTAAAATCGCGAAAATGCTCCTTTACCAATCACATGCTTCCTTTCACTCCATTCAAGTATCTTTCAACAAGTAACAGCATGTACTCTTTCACCTGAGTTTATTTCCATGTAGGCTAGGTTGATACACTGGATCTTACTTGTCAAAAGTCACTTGTCATTAGGTTGCTAGTCTAAATGTTCTTTTTCAAATTATTAGTTGCTAAATATGGTATCCATTGCATGAATAAGTGTTTCAAAAGACCCTAAAAATATCTATGTCTATGAAGGAGCTGGAATTTCACGTTATCTTATAGAATCAAGATCATTTTTCCAAGTAGAGAGCACAGCATATGGAATTTCTTATGGCGTTTTCAGACATTTTGATCTATCATGCATGATATCTATTGATAAATAATATTGTGACAGCAAGTAAACATGTGTTATCATACATCATCCTGCTTTATTTTCATTTATTCAAGGATTTAAAGACTGCAAGACTTTATACGACTGGGGAAATCGACGTAGCGGTATTTACGAAATATGGCCAAAAGGCACAGATAATGGTAACCTTGCTGTGTTTTGTAATATGGACGTCGATGGAGGTGGATGGATAACGATCCAAAGAAGAGTGGACGAAAATAGGTACTTCAACAGTGAATGGAAACAATACAAAGATGGTTTTGGAGATCTAAGTAGAAACATGTGGATAGGCTTAGAAAATATGAATTTCCTCACCTCAAGTGAGAAATCAGCGACTTTGCGAGTAGATATAACATTTCAAGAGTCAGCACGAAAGTACAAAGCTTTTGCGAAGTATGAGACATTCAAAGTTCAAAGTGAGGCTAATGGATACAGACTACATATTGGTAACTTTTCTGGCAATGACGTAAACGCCATGGAAACACAAAATGGAAAGCAATTTAGTACAGGAGACAGAGACCAAGATGGCTGCAGTTGTAGCTGTGCCTCTCTCTACACTGGAGGCTGGTGGTTTGGCGACTGCTCGAAAGGACCAAGCGCAAATCTAAATGGCATATATACAGAAGAAGGCACAGATCCTGCCCAAGAAATTACTTGGAAAAATGAAGGAAAGCGGAAGATTGTTTATGTTGAAATGAGTATGAAATACAATTGACAACAATTTATAGTACTATGCAATTACTATATACGACTCACTTTAACCTGGGTGCCAGAGTCTCCACAATTTAGTTTCAGAATTATATACTTGAGTGGGGATAAGGGAAAGAGAATTTTCCTCCCTTCCTCTTTATCTACAAATTTGTCATATACTACGCATAATTTGCTTCTCAAAAGGTGAATAGACTAAGATTTACGCTTTGCTGTTTAAAATAAGGCGGTTCTAAGTAGCAATTAGGATCTTGCTTAATGCAATCATCAGGCAATTGCTGGAGTTTTCATAGCTAACATTATCTAGGAGGATATTCCCTTTCCCTTACGTATAAGACAACGTTTAGCTAATTTACAAAATATTCCTACACACTGTAGCTCGGGCATTTTGAAGGACAACGTTAGACAGTTGGTTCAATTTCTTGATTTTTTCTTATTTCATTTACTTTCTTCCATTACTGTTTGATTAGATATTTTGTTAGTTATTTATATATAGGAATAAATGGCTTGAATTGAATATCACCATGTTTGATGACCAACTGTTGTAGCAGCTTTACACTAATCTAACGAGTCAAATTACTTAATCTAATGACTGGAAGATTGTTTTTCTTGGTTCCTACTTCTAGTATGAATACAAACTGTTCTAGTTACCTACTGAAAAATAATATACAATTCAATTCCATTAAAGTGCACCATCAAGGGGTGTAAGATAATGGTCTGACTTTTCCAATGTCTGATTATTCCAGGGTTCGTCTTTTGGTGTGAATCCGATAGGAAAATCCAATGATACTTCTAAATCAGTTTTTCGTTGTACGACTTAAAGCGATTCAGCTGTTTTAAGAATAGAACAGTTTACAACTAGCATGCTTTTCGTAGACAGCATAATGTATGGGTTTAAAAATCCCTTAAGGAGAAAAGAGATTTTGACAAGCATAACAAAGGTCGATGAAGGGACAATAATTTTGCATGATTCAGACGTAGTTGAAATGTTTAATAATTCCTTTTTCACTGTTACCAATTCTCTTAGAATTGTTGAGCAAGGAAAAACTATCCTTGATTCTGAAATAGCTAGGGGACCTATTGGTCAAAGCTTATCTACATTCTGTAACTTTCAGGATTACAAAAAAGCTTTCCATCATTGAAATAAGTTGTCAGTTAAATAAAAAATTGCTAGAATGAATCCTACTAAGTCAACCACTTTCTCGAGATTGCGTCTCATCGAGATCGGTTGAAGAGTGAGTTCGATTTGGTTTCTACATCCTTTGCGAGTCATACTCAATAACACCATACAGTAATATTCCATTATGGATGAATTGAAATTCCCGGATGCATTATATTTTCTTAAAACGATGAAAAAAGGGTAAATACATGCCTAAAAGTGTTCTCTCCAGTCTCCACAGTGTCAAAAACAATTGAGAGGGCTCATTGCTTCTCAGTTTTTACTATACGTCTTGGAATTAATCATAGTTGCTTTGTGGATTTTCGTCAAGGACTACAATGCCAGGCATGCATTGATGTGTAAAATTAAAGAATTGAAAGTTTGCTTGGACAACGGCACGAGAGTAACCTTTCAAAGGCCTTTGATTGCATCAAGTAGAATGTACTTATTGCCAAGCTACAGCTTCACACATACAGGCTTCGCACTTTGATGACTGCAACTTTGATGATTCGCGAGAGACTGCAACTTTGATGCATCAATTCAAGCGTGCGAGATGAGAGATCCCAAAAATATAGGCTAGAAGAGATCCCAAAAATATTACTGGGTGCCATAAATATTGGCAGCATTGCCATTAATATTTCTAATTTATTTGTAAGCATATCTGTCTATATCTAGGTATCGCTGAACTGAGACTTTTAATGATAGCATTTATAACGGCCAGCTACAGTACTGTCCATTTGTGTGGATGTTGCATAGCAGAAACATAAATAGGAAAGTCAATAGGCTGCACGAGAGAGCCCAGAGAATATGACGTAAAGACTACAATTCCAGCTCTGCAACTTTGTCAAGAAAGCTACATCTGTAACGATACATCAGAAATACATGCAATTGGTGATGACTGTAATGTTCAAAACTATTAGTAATTTAAACCCGTTTTATGAATTAATTTTTTTTTAAAAAAATAGCTTTTACACAGTATTCTCTCCAATGAAAGGAGACTCTAAAAGGCGGATACTTCTGATTAGCGGACAATTTTTTTTCCGATCGATTTCTGGTCAAAGTCTCATAAAAAACTTTCTAAAAAGAGGACACTTAATTAGCAGACATTCTAATTAATGGAAAATATTTTTTGCACAAAATAGTCAATTTGGCCTTTTTCTTCCCGATTAGCGGACAGTTCAAAAAAGTTAAGAGCCAGCGAGCAAAAGACTGAGACGAATGAATATTTGTTCAAATATTTATTTCAAACACTTTGGCACTTAACAATCTAGTTGGCTTTTTACAGCTTCGAGCTTCTTTACAGCCCAGTTTACTAACTTTTCTTGTCCATGAAAGTGGTAAATTACTGGAATCTCCAGACCATAGCTACCTCCACGATTCGACCTCTTTCCAGTAACTTCAGCTTTAATGTAAGTGTTTGGCACTACCCGATAGCCACTAACTACCCAGATTACGCCCAGAGGTGGAGCCAGAAATCTGCCGACCAAGGGGTTGGAGTTTCCTACAGGGGGGCTAAAATGACTAAAATATGCAGTTTTTGTACGTTATTTTGTCAAATTTGCTCCAACAATAACCTAAAATTTCCTCCGATGGGGGCTAGATGCTTCCGACGGAGGGGCTGAAGTCCCCCCCCCCACTAGCTCACCCCTGGTGCCAGCACTGATTGCACATTTTAAATACAAAACTCGGGTATATTTTCAAATTTGGGACTTACATTGCAAAACTTTCCAAAAGGCGGACACTCCCAATTAGCGGACACCTTGCTCTTGCCCCGACGGTGTCCGCTAATTTGAGAGAATACTATAGTTTAAACCCACTGCTTTAGCCTGATAACTAGCCCATCATATCAGCCTACCACTGCTTGTAATATAGATTTTATTTTGTCTCTCGAAATAGTCATCTCTATTCTTGCAACCTGAAAACTAATAGAAGATGTAATCTCTTTATTCATAATGCTTCATAATGCTAATGTATTATTGTCTCAAATTTACAAAAAGGAAGTTTCAAATTCCATGAACAATTTCTTTTGCTCTGTTGGAAAGAGTCTTGCTAATAAATTGACCCAGCCCAAAATTGCCTCTTTTCTGGCAAGTAACAAAAACAGAAATGAATTACTAGTTACTTTCGAAACTTGCTTTACTCTTTATCGAAAATTCATTTGCTATCTTTTTCAATATATCGATTGTAACAAGTCAATTTTCTGGCAAATTGAAAATAGCAAGAGTTGTTCCAAGTTTTGAAGAAGAAGAAATAACTGACTAGTCAATATCTGCCTTTCCTGTCATCTCAAGGCTCTTTCAGAAACCTATAACTAGCCTACTGTACCAATATATGGACATAAGTGGTCTGTCTTCTAATGGTCAATCAGGCTTTCAGCGACTCCGGTCCACTGTAACCTCGGATCTTGGTAAGCTTGTTGGGTAAGTATTCATTGACATGAAAATGGCTTTTGATCCTGTTGATCGTGACATACTATGCCAAAAACCTGCCTTCTATGGTGTTCCAGACCGTAAACTTTGATGGTTCAAATCCTACCTCACAAATCGCAAACAGTTCTGTAGGGTTAATGGTGTAGATTCTGAGATTGGGAATATTGATGTCGGTGTGCCACAAGGCTTATGCCTTACCCTTTCTATTCTTCATTAATGATCAACAACTTGCGGTTCATGATTCCACTGTATTTGCTGATGCTTTTGCTTTCAGTGTGATAACATTACTTTGCTGGATGAGGCTACTAATAAATATCTCAAAAAAATGGCTAGTGTCATATTTCGTTTTCACCTTAGCACTCCATTGGTAACATTCTCAATAGGCAAGTAGCACTGATTAGGAAACCTCAGCAATTATGTGAAAAAACCCATTTCTGATCGCGATTCTGATTGGCCTATTTCGATCCACAACTGGGCATATATTTTCAAGCCTAGAGTTTTCGATCGATGTTCTGACGTTTTACATTCTGAAGAGTATCAGATGAAAAGCTTCAGTAACATTCTCAAAAATCAGAACGACGTCCTGCAATTAAAGTACAAAACAAAGTAACCCAACTTTGCAATACAAATTGATTGTTCCTTAAATTGGAAAGGGCAATTGGAAACTTTTTCTTCCAAAGTTTCTAGGGCTCTAGGTTTTTCTGAAGCATGCAAGAAAATGTTTTTGCCGAGGAACACGTTTGAAACTCTGTACTCAGGCATTTAATGCTGCCCTACCTGTTTCTGTACAGGGTCAACAAAAATAAATCAGCAAAAACTTCAGAATCGTGCTACTAGAATTAAATTCAAAAGCAGCTATGATGTCCCTAGTAGGCCCTTTAGTCTAAAGCCTGGGTCGAAAAACTATCTGTAGATTCATTCAAAACAAGTCCCAACTAATGGTCTTGAAATCTCTGAATGGTTCGGCACCCCAATGGCTGGGTGATTCTTTTACTCACACAATACTTCTCTCATAGCCTCCGCAATACAGCGGCAGTTGAAGGTTCTCATTCCCCCAGGGGGTCACTCAAAATTTGAACATATGGGGAGGTCCATCTGCAGTTATCAAAATACACATAAATTCATCAAAAATAAATTTAGCAAGCCCATAATTAATAGCTTAAAATGGGTACCAGTTCCTCTTGACTGGGTACCCATTTTTGTTCATTTTCTTGATGTTTTTCTTGTTTAATGATATGTTGTATTTTCTATCTGATAACGATGGAGCTAATTTGATCTATTTCTATAATAATTGAAATCTTCTCTGAATCGGACTATTCAAAAATAATAAGTAGTAGGAAGCAATTATTTTCTGAAAGGGGCGTTTTCTTAAGGGCGTGGCCTCAAACATTTTTGGTCATGCTCTTTTCAGCCCCCTCACTTTTTGACTGGTGCGCGGTGCCTGTTTGGTGCACGGTCCTTTCATTGATCATTGCAACACAAGTTTCCGTGAAAAATTGTCCCGTGTAACGCTTGATTTAAGTGATTTAGGTTTTTTAAATCTTATCTTTTCTTGTAAATAGGAATTTTGATTGCGTTTAGGTTTTTTAAACACATTTGGTTATTTCTGATAATATTTCTGAGAAGCGTTTATAGCGCTTAAGATAGAGTGGTACCGAAAACATTTCAGGGCAAACTCCCCCCGTTTATTAATATATATGAGCTTTGAAAAGTTTGTTTTGTTCTCATTTTGTTCTGATATTTTGAAAAAGTGTTGATATTTGTTGAAATTGTCCTCTTTCCTTTACACGCAGGGTTACCAAGGAAAAATTGCCACGGGTGATTGAAAATTGCACTTTGATATCACACAATTTCCAATTACTCAGGATAATTTTTTCTTGGTCAATTTGTAGTCGTAATCATGTTGTTTTTTTTTAAATGGACGCCAGTATACGTAGAAATTTAGTTGGAAACTTACTTTGATCCCAAAAAAGAATGATCACGAGATTTTTCAGATTTTTCACATTTCCTACCCCCCCCCCCCCCACTTACTAGGACCCCCCACTTATTTATTTTTTGAAAAATTTCTGACCCCACCCAACAATCAAGACCCCCTCCTTCAATTAAGGACCTTAGAGTAATTCAATAAAACGCCATAGGCAACCTCAGAAGGCAAAATTTATCAAATTGAGAGGTCCAATTCGAGAATATATGCTAGCAGTGGGGGCTTGTTCGAGGGGGGAGGGGCAATTCGAGGATTTGCGGTATTTCCGCCTAGCGCCGTCCCAGTTTCGAATTCGGCTCGGCATTGAATTGAATTGTTAAACTGCAAGTCATTTACATGGAGATTCGAGGCAAAGGGCCTGCTGTTGTTGGAACATTTGGAATTTTCCCCAGTTTTTAAAGCTAACAAGCTTGATATGCTCGTAAACATCGGGTGGTAGGTTTCTTCTCCAGTTCTTAAGCTTGAGGATCTTTTTCAAGATGACCAAACATGATGCGCCTATTAAGGTAAGCTAGTGTTTTTGTTCGGGCGATCTATCGAGCAGTAATACGACGAAAAGAAAGTAAAAATCTCAATCTTTTGTTGTGGAAAACCTGTATGTTTTTTCGTTGCCTCTACCCAATCAAGTTTATGTTTGATTTCTAGAGACTGATGGTGAAGGCAATAAAATTCCATGCTAGTGCAATGTCATTATTTTCTTTTAACTAACCAAATAACCCCCAATCAGTACGCAGTACCAATGATGGGGCCCTGTACACTACCAGGACAAAAGTATTGCAACACCCTAATCAAAATGGCATCAAAAAAAATTGGAGTTTTGTAAACTTTTAACTTTACGCTGAAATATTCCCCTCAAAAATAAGCATAATCATTCTAAACCAGGAATTAAATTCTTCGAAATTTATTGAGGATTTCGAAAAGAGTTACAATATTAACGTAAGAAGTTTTACAGTTATAGGAAAAAATATGTGGTGGAAAATTCAAGATATTGACAAGATAAGGAGCGAGTAGTTGTGATTAAACTTCGTGTAACTGGTCTCTCGACTCTAAAGATTTTGCAACTTTTTATAGAAAATGATAGCAAATAGTGAAAGTTTAGGAAACAACAAATGAAGTTATTAGCTCTGACTCTTTTAGCCTCGAAATTCTCCAATAAAACTTGGATAATTTTTTTGGTACATTTAGGCCTATATAAATTGGTAAATCATGAACTAGCGACATGCGAGTTAATGCAGCGAAACATGTCAAAATAATGCATAACAGTTTCTTTGGTGGAATTAAATTAATGCTAGGAAAATGAGGAAGGCAGTTTTTATCATAAAAAGCAATACATCCCCGTTACAAGGCCATTTTTACTCAAATTTACCTGAAAATCTGCAAGCTCTATGTCCTTCCTCGTCCATCACAAAGACCTAACATTAAAATAAGCTAATATTTCTTGTTGCCAATGAAAATGATCGGATTTGAGGTCCACAAGGGTCTCTAAGGTCCAAACAAAAAGTGGCATAGAGAGTTTATTGAGAATAAAACAGAATCCCAGTGCATTTCATCAACAAATTTTGTGCATCAAATCCAAAGCAATTTTTCTGCACTTATCAGAGCCAGAAGCACCTCCACAAAATATCTGTTTAATTAAAAGTTACTTAAATTATTGATTTAAAATTTTGAAAAAAGAAAATGGAATATTAGAATAAGCGCTTCATTGAAATTGCAATTTTATTTGCGTGCCATTGGCTGATTAAACAATAGCTTAATCACACAACAACAAAAGTTATTGCTTGATCCGCCATTAATCGCCTTCGCAGGTGTTGCAATACTTTTGTCCTGGTAGTGTATATTTAGAGTAAACTAGATAAAATTAGATTAGATCCTCAATCATGAAACCACAGTTTGTCAGAATTGACCCCCTTTTCTCTAATGTTGACCTCTTATCTTTAAAACCCTCATTGAAAAGAATAATAAAACATGCTTATAGTTCAAGTACTTTGCTTATTGATTGATCTGGTTATCCAGAAATGTAATCTGGTTTATTGAATCAGCCCATTTTGTTTTTCTGATTCGTTTTCTCAAAACCCCCATTTTTTTAAATAAGTCTATGTCCCTAGACCTCTTTTGTCTGTTGTCTAAATGATTGGTGCACACAAGAGCAATAGTTTTATTTGCTTTACTCTCCAGGGCAAAGTTGGTAAATAATGTGAAAATTTCTTCACGGCTGCTTTTTGTTGAATGAACTGGTGTTACTATGGCAAACGAAGAAAAGAGTGCCCTCACAAAGCCAAAGAGCTACCAATATCCGCATGATGTAATTTTGAAACAAAATGTTGCTGTATTGCTTGAAATTAAAGAGGAACCATCAGATGATACACCTACCAGTATGGAAAAATGCATAAATGATGTTTGTATCCAGTATGATTATAAGGACAATGACAGGGACATAACAAACAGTGATAATGAGTATTTCCCAGATACCAACGAAGAAAATTCTGAAGATTCAGATAATGCTTCCGTAGATTCTTCCATAAAAGTGCCAACTCATTATGTTGAAACTGACCTCTGCAATGGTGGGGTCATTGGCATAAAAGGCTGTGAAACAGTTAAAGAGGAAGATATTATTAGATATGACTGTGATAGGTGTAGTAAAAGTTTCCCTTCGAAATTACGTTTAAGGAGCCATTATAGGGCCCATGATATAGACAAAAGGTTCCATTGTGATTTCTGCTCCAAAACATTTTCACTTAGAGCTGGGCTTGTTGCACATACCCGCACACATACAGGAGAAAAACCCTATTCTTGTGAATTTTGTAATAAATCATTTGCTGATTGTAGCACTCTTAAAACACACAGGCGAATCCACACAGGGGAACGTCCTTACAGTTGTGATAAGTGTGGGAAAGCCTTTAACAATCATGGCCATCTTTTAAGACATAAACGCATTCACAGTGGGGAAAGACCCTTTGTGTGTAAAGAATGTAATAAAACATTTGGGCAACAATCAAGCCTGACAACACACCTTCGCATCCACAGTGGCGCAAAGCCTTATGTTTGTGATTTGTGTGATGCTGCATTTTCTCACTCAAGTCATGTGAACAGACACAAACGAAGCTTTCATTCTGAGAAGTAATTACTTTTGGTTTGGATTCAGTTGGTTTCCATGGCAACTAAGATTTGATGGTAGATGCAGAGAAGATATACTTTTTGTCAGATCATGCTCACATTGTAGGTTGGTTGCAAATTATCAAATCAGAAGAGGAATTTGCATCTCCATTGACTCAATAAGAAAATGGGACTGACATCTTCAATCTAAAATCAATCTGATAGCAATTCAGACTTTTAAACAACAAATAACTTTATTCTGATCAGCCCATGAAAATCAGAAATTTTAGCAAGAGTGCCAGAGTTTTTGCTTTTTGTCTACAATAGGATAGCTTAACACTTTTCCCTTTTAGAACATTTTTGCTTTTTCTCTCTTCTATGAAATACCTGCTGGTAATAAGGACAATTATTTCAATTTTTACTAGGTTTCATTGCAGCATGTTTTGAAGACAAAATCCATTTTCTTGACTAGCTGTAATTGCCCAATGTTTACAATATTACCTACAGTTGATCTTTAGAAAACTTTCAAGATAACTTAACACTTTGTTTTATCATACTGATAATCTTAATGATATCACTTGTTGCTGATTGCTTATTTTCATACATTGTCAAGATTATGGCTTCGTGTCATACTGATACTATCACATAAAGGTTCATGTTGTTTCTTTTTAGTATCTTTTTCACCAGACCTTGTGAGAAGCAAAAAGCAGGCACTTGACACTGAGCACCTTCAACTCTCTAGGTGCTCGATTAAGCATCATCAAATATCATCAAAAACAAAATTTGGGTTTTTGCATTTAATTATTAAAGTTCATAAACATACTTGTTCCTCGATCAATAAAGCTCCTAGATCTTTCTGGTCAAGCTCCTTTGTTGAGCAAGGGCTGCTATTCAAACAAACTCTTTGACCTTATTACTGTTATAAACAAAAGTGTCCTAATCCTAACTGTCCCAAAAATTGAATTTGCTGAAAACCTTCAGAGTTATTCGATTTAGAAAAAATATTCGGCCAGCTTGCTGAAAGCCAGTAAAAGCAAGAGCTTGTGAAAGGAAGATAATTCTCTTTGCAATTATGCATTGGAAATATCTTTTGTTGAGACATAAAAGTTCTAGAGTCAAATGAGTTCTAGAGTCAATGTGCACAGACTGCTTTCCATATGCTTCATTTTTTACAAAGCTCTTTCGTCTATCTACAGGGCTGCCAGAGCCAGGGGGGCCACGGGGGCACAGCCCCCCCCCCCCTGTTCGCGAAAAATATAAACAAGTGCCCCTTTTCGAAAGATATATTGCGTGTATTTTTTCAATGCCAGATATTCTGCCTTTAGAAACAAAGTAAAATAACATAACTCTGGACGTTGTTGGCAGGGCCGCGGAGAGAATTTACGGGCCCCGGGTCAGGACAAAAAATTAAATCATAAGCCATGGGGAATGCTCCCCAGAAATTTTTGAAAATTATGGTTGCCTAAACTGCTAGGGTGGCTATTTTGGTTGCTAAAATTGCCATGGTGGCTAAACTGCGCCGGTGGCAATGGTGTAGATAGAGGGGGTCAGAGGGAGCAAAAACACCACTATAGAGCTGAACTGCTATTTTGTTGGAAAACCTCTGCTCTTTTCAAAAATTTAACATGGTTGTCTATGTTTAACTAAATGCTATGTTTTGATGGAAAAATTTGAATCTAAATAAACATAAGAATATTCAATATATCAAAATATCTTTTTTTCAGTTCTGATGTCGTTATGTTGAAATTTTTGAGAAAAATATAGAAGCTTGTTAGATTTTTGTCGCAAAATCCATGTTTCTCACCCCTCCTGTGAATTAGAAAGAAATAGAAAATAACAGGTACAAAATGATACGTTTAAATAACTGAGAATGAAAAACAAGTGGGTTAGGCACAAGATTTGGGGATATTTAATGGAAAAGATATAATTTATCACAAGTACATTTAATACTTTAAGCAACTGTTTATTCTGTTCCTTCCATATCGCACTGCTTCATTCAACCTCGCACTTCTTGCATACAATTAATATACAATGTACGCATCAAATATAATACTTACCATACCATACCTGATAACTGATATCTGATACCTGATAATTTGAGAATAACTTATGTCTTAGCACCATAATGCATGAAAATGAAATTTTCTTAGAAATTTATAAAGGCTAGAAAATGAAAAACGTTCAATTCGTTAACTAAATTGGACCAAAACCGACACACTGTTGCAAATAGATTCTAATGCTATAGGTAAATCTGTATGACATACATATTGCCCTGTATGTTACCCTGCAATCACATTTTAGGTAACATTTAGAAGCTTTTGAACTTCTTTAGCCCTAGCCAACAAAGATTATATTTAAGACTGAGGCAGGCAACGACTTCATGGACCTTTGTCATTATTGTCTCTAATATTCTGTTATGTTAATGTTGATGGGGAGGCTGGATTATTACTTAGAAATTTTTTTCAATTGATTTATTATTTATGGGCCCCTAAAGCCAAGGGCCCCCGGGTCAGTGACCCCCCTGATCCCCCTCTCCTCAGCACTGGTTGTTGGAGGACCATTCACAGAAAATTCCTTAAATTTTTACTTGGTCTTGATGCAAGAAGCGCAAGCTCCTGTGATGAACAATATCAACTGTGAAGGAGGCTGCCAGTTTCGAGAGAAAATTTCTTTAGTATATCTTCAGCAACAAAATCATTAGTGAAAGGTCCGATCAAGTCCCCGGTGGGCACAGTCAGTTGGTCCAATGTATATCGTGTGTGTTCTTGTAAGTAAAAACTGGACCCCTATCTCTGATTCTGGGTTGAGTAAAATGTACCCAATTCTGTGCCTTTGCCAAAATTGTGTAACTCTTTTCACTGAGAATATTCAAGCTTGGGCAGGAATTTTTGTTAAAATCAAATTTAGTGAACTCTGCTTTTCATTGAGCATGTTAGAGCCATTCTTTTTCTTAAACTTTTGTCCAGGTAAGTTAAAAAGCAGAGTTATCTAAATTTGATTATAACAACAATCCCTTATGGTTCTTGACATATATATCAACAAAATCAGACATCTGTAAAACTATAGCTGCCACATATTGCTTGCTTCACAACATTGTGTTCAATGTTTTTTATGAAGAAATGAAATTTCTTATCTAGGATTCGAACAATATACAAGACTAGACGTACTGCAAAATTTGTTGTACTTCACTATATTACCTAAAAAATTATCTGCAACATAATATCAGTAAATTCCTGCCCTTTTTTGCTTCCTCTGACTGATTAAGAATGCAACCCTATTTTCAAGATTCTATGTCCCAGAATTCTAGCTTTTTTCAAATTTTCGGAACTCACATGTTATACGTTTGACCAACTGACTGAGCCGCCCGGGATCAATTTTAAGGAGAGTTAATCTCTATCTACAAAAATACCTCTATTGTCAGTCGGGAATACCGTCAAGATTCTTATCTTATCGAGAGCATAGGTGATGATTATGATGATGGTAATACCACACTGAATATAATTATGGATGTTAATATAATGGGTCAATTTTTGCCTTGCAACTATCAATTTCCCAAGGCAAAGTTCGGTTCGCAGTTTAGAGGGTTTCTGCCCAAATGGTTTGACGAGTTTCCATGGCTTCACTCTCTAGGTAGAGATCGCGTAGTTTGCTTTGTTTATGCACCTCAAGACAAGAATGAAAAATTGCAAAGCTGCAGAAATACAGAAGAAGCATTTATTTCAGCTGGCTTTAACAACTGGAAAAAAGCAGTTGAAAGATTTTGTGACCACCAGGAATCTAAATCACACAAAACTGCGTTGACTGAAATATGCTGATGTGCTGGGGATGGTGAACAAACAGGCTGAAATGACGATGCAGACTAATCGCCATTGTTTCTTGAAAATTTTACAAATACTGAAATTCTTTGGACGTCAGGGTAAAGCTCTACAGGGCGACAATGAGAAACAGTCAAATTTCTACCAGTTCTTAAAACTAAGAAGCTTATTGTGTCTTGGGCTTAAGCAAGGTGAGGAAGAACATAAAGAGTGAGAGTATTACATTTCTTTGAATTTCTCATTCTAACCGATCACACACCTATCCATTCCAAATTTCCACCGTCTTTACATTTATGTAGGCATAAATGTCGACTGGTGACGAGCCCCCTGGGAAGTTGTACTATGACCTAGGTCAACAGATAAAACATGTGATCAATGAGATAGGGATAAAACAGCGCATTAAGCCTTGGCCAAACTGGGCAACATTGTTGCCCGACAATGTTGCTCGAAATTTTGTTAATTTTTTCGTCGCCGAAACATGGTGGCCAAACTGGGCAACATTGTCGTGCAGCATCTTTTGATGATATTATCAAAACAGCGTGCCAAATATGATCTGATATGTGTTTTTCCGCGCCATATTTGATTTGAGCAAAAATTTGGATAAGAATGGCAGATAGGAAGCAAGCTGCAGCTACTGGAAGCTGATTTTGACATCACAACACCTTTGTTGCTTAGCACTCTGTGGTCGAGCACGCGGGTAGCATTTGGCTGATTTGTTTTTTCAAAGAGCTTGCATTTGGACTTGTTTCAGACGAGACTTTCTATTCTTCCTGAACTATTCTTCCACTCCATGGTTTTCTTCCCATTCGGTACAATCAACTTGAAAGCTTAAATTTTGACTGGCCATTTTATTTGAATCGAGTAGAGCATACTGTTTTGCAATACATCACTGTGCAAGTTGGTTTTTCTCAGATGGAAAATTAAGGTGAATTGTTGCCCGACAAGGTTGCCAAACTGGACAACATAGAGCTGAGCAACAAATGTTACCGAAAAATGTTTGAACATGTTCAAACATTCGAGCAACAAATTTCTTGATGAATTTGTCGGCCGACACGGTGGCAAAACTGGACAACATTCGAGCAACGTTAGGAATTTGTGAATGTTGCCTGACAATGTTGCCCGGTTTGGCCTAGGCTTTAGGGACAGGTTATTCAAAAGACAAACAAATGTTTGATGATCAATCAGTTAAGAATTTGTATAAGAAATTTAGGAA